GTGGGGGTGCTTGGAAGCCTCGCCGTGTCGGGGTGCAGCCTGGGCCGTCCAGCACTGGCGTCGTACGATGTTTGATAATGATGTCGGTCCAGGTGTTTTGTGGGGGCCAGTGGCGATTTGGCAAAAGACATTCTGGCGTGAGAATCGAGCCGTATCGTGGGGGCCAAAAGTGCGACCACTGCCGTTTGTCACAGCCCCGTGACGGGCACAAGCGCGTCTGTAGCGCCTTAACCGAAACCAACTGCGGACTTGTCGCTGGGCCAAGGCGGCGCCAAAGGGGCGCTCTGGCCGCTGCGGAAGCGTTGGGGTGGACTGGTGGCGCTGTAGACACACGGCCGTGGGCGGATTGCAGCTGGAATCCTTGCAGAAGGCACCCAGCTGCCAGGCATTACGCTCAAAAACTGGGGGCCACGGCCAGACCTTGGTTGGCCATGGCTCGAGGGATGGGCACACCACGCAATTGCAAAAGGCGCGACAAAAGTCAAGTGGTCGGCAACTTGTGGAGCTCACAGCTCGTGCCTTTCAGGGCGCAGACGTTGGCAAGGATCGCGGGCCCAGGCCTGCCAAGATCTGTCGAGTTTTGCCACAAAAGCAATCGCAGCCAACTCGTAGCCAAGTGGAGCATTGTCGCCAAGTGATGGAATGGCCAGCGAAGCTGGCCAAGCGCAGGCTGCGAAGCCCATGTTTCGAGCGGAGGGGCTCAGAGCGCCCTCGCTTGATCAAGCATACGCTTCCCCCGTGCCCAAAACGGCACACCCCCCAAGAGCAATGGATGCCAACACGCTCGGTCGCGCGGGTCGGCCTTTCAGGTCTCGATTCCAGGCGCCACGAAATGGCTGCTACGCTGCGCCCCTCGAAGAGAAGCGCGGTTCCCTGCACCAGTGGTAGAAAACAGCATGTTTGCGATGCTAGCTGCAATGCCATTTTGACACAAGATGCCGTCACAGTGACTGGGATGGCATAAAAGTGGCTGCGATGGCATCATTTTGTGTCAAATGGAATGGCAGTTGGCATCGCAAAGAGACTGCTTTCTACTGGTGACTGCGTGCCGCTGCCGCCTCGCCCGCGCCCAGGCACACGGGGCTCCAGGCCGCCGGCCCAAGTTCGCACCGTATCGCGGCAGTCAAGCATATCGCGAATTGAGGTGGCGGCACTTTTCATCAGTTCTGACAGCTTCCGATTCTTTTGCCAGAATGTCTTTTGCCAAATTGTCACTGACCCGTTGGGGGGTGGGGGGTTTGTTGGCTGGCTTCCCCGCATCTAGGGCGTTTTGGATATGGACAGTGAGCACGGAGATGAGACAGAGACAAGGCCGAGATGGAGACCCTGGACATGCACACCCAAACCCTGGCCCAAGCGCCGAGTCCTGACCCATCTCCATCTCTGTCACCATCTCTGTATCTGGAAACCCTCCCCCCCCCCCACACACACAGAAAAGAAAAGAGAAAGAAAAACAGAAAAAAACTTGACCCATCTCACCAGTAGAAAACAGCCTGTCTGGGATGCCAACTATTTTGCCACTTGACAGAAATTGATGCCATCACAGCCCCTTTTATGTCATTGCAATCACTGTGATAGCATCAATTCGGGTCAAAATGGCATCGCATCTGGCGTCGCAAACATGGCGTTTTTTACCAGCGTACCATCTTTGGTTCCATTTCTGCCCCCGTCTCTGTCGCTGTCTCCATCTCCCTCTCATCTCTGTATTCGTGGTGCGTATCAGGAGCGCTGTGCACGCATCTGGTTGACTGTGAGCAGCTCAGATTGCTGAATGGGGATGGTTGAAACACTTTGCAAAGACGGTACTGGAGGGTCTGCGCAATTTCAGAACTGTTTTTTCCCCATGTCGTTGTGGTCGAATAGGCACTGTCTTGTCCTTCTCACATGGAATTCGTGCCACAGGGCTTATGGCAGGGATCAGCTGTGCGAATTGTGATTCTCAAGGTGCGTTTGTGGGTAATTTCGTTTGCTGGGCATGGTATGATAGCAGGGTTTGTGTGTCCGTCACAGGGAAAATGCCATATGGTGGGAATCAACGGCCAAGGCACCTTCTGCAAACCGAAGTAGCAACGCCGTTCATTGTGGTGTGCGATTGCTAATTTTACGGCAGAGATATTGAGTGAAATCACCTTTGCCTGCCACTACTGTGGAATGATGAAACATATACTGCGCTCTTATTGCATTTCCCTGAAAGATCTGAGGCTTGCCATTCTCAACACAATTTTCTTTGATATACTTGAGGCAGTTCTTTATGACAATTTCGATTTCATTCCTCCCTGAAGAAGTTAAAACTCTCAAAGCTTGGGTAAAAGGATTCTGAAAGACAACGTGGCTAAAATATGTGGCCATCCAATACGGCAAATGCTCAACTTATGAGATGGCATACAACAAATCGTGCCAACAACAAATAGAGATATACTTTTAGTAGACAAGAATGAGGTACCGAAACTTCGTGTCGAAATTACATCACATCTCAGATTCTTATAAAGTAGGAAAAGGAAATATTGTGAAGCGGTGATGAAAATGTACTCACATCAGTCTCAATCATATGGCCAAAATAACCATCGGCGTTTGACTCAGTAATCGATAACAATGCCGAAAAGTTCATATAGCTCTTTTGATCTTTTACTAGCCACATGCTGTCAATCTCAACATTTTCAGAGGTGAGAAAAGCGTGGTGAGAATGCACAGTATCGTACAGTACATATGGGGGAGAACAGATTGGGAGAAAAGGCCCAAAGTTTTCAGCCAGACGGGGCAGGGGAGGGATTTTTTTTAGGTCGGTAAGTGGAGCAATTGGTTCAGGCAGCGCATCAGCAGGGAACCACTTGAGATTACCAGCGCAAACGTCCCCCATGCCTCTGTTTCTAATGCCGGGCACCCAAAATTACGAAAGCGGGCCAATGTCAGTGGAGCTTGGGACTCTTGAGTTTTTGGATGCCTTGTGTCTTGCAACACGTTCATCAGATCATAGGAAGAGGTACAAACACAATGAAGAACAAATTTCGGCCAGACAACAGCTCAATAGGGCCGGTTTTCTTCCCCTTCAATGGTTGAATGTATTTTGCTCCAGGGTGGAACTCTTGCTCCTTGCGGACGATATCCCTACATGGTGTCGCTTCGTGACACAAAGAATGCTCACAAATGCGGAGGCATTCTTGTGCACAAACGATGGGTTGTGACTGCCGCTCATTGCGTAGATCCGGCTGACCCAAACAGCCTTGGAACAACACCAGTTATAGTAATTGCAGGGTGCTCCCTTGGCGACACAAAAAACGAAAATGGGGAGGTGGAGGTGAGTGTGATCGGATATTCAGACATAAGCATGTAAACAGTGTGTATACTTCGCAACTGCTGCCAGGGAGAAATGCTCTGATCTGAGATTTGAAAGAGACTCTATGAACCATGTTTTGATGAGTGAGTCCAGTCATTGTTATTCATTATTCATGGGGGCAGTTCATGGCGACTGACTTCGGGTTACATGAAATCAATGGCGCCATGTGCAAACATATGCTTTAGTAATTCATCCAGCTGTTCACCTATTTTCAACCACATGCAAGTCTCGTGTCGATTTCATGCATTTGCGAAACAACTTTCGAGGCTGCTAAAACTAGAGTGTTGAGCTCCAGCTAAGAAGGGAAGTGCTACGTGAGTGTGCGCACAGGTATCTATTCAAATGGGAGGGAACATAATGCCCCACGTGTGATGCGCGTGTGCATAAAAATCTCGCTTGCAGCCTAATGAAGCTTAATTCGCTTTGGTCCTCCTACAGAAGTAAGAATACAAGGAGGTGGCATAGGACAAATGGGGAAAATAGTGAAAAGAATCAGTGTGTTTAAGACATGTTTGAGATTATGTCGACATTGATATGGTTTTGCCATCTGGTGGCAAGGTTGCTCGCTATCCCTCCTTGTCTTGCTCTCGCAGAAATACTTGGAAACATTTCCTGGGTGCCTTACCCATTCGGCAGCAGCCCAGGAGAGGTGGCGATAGCCCGTCGATCCCCACAGATCACATCGGCACTAAATGCATTGCAGTGGACCCTTGACCAATGCGACGACCAGCTTCATCGCCAGTCTGCGGAATGGCCACATACTTTGGGGGAAATGGGCGAAGCATCCGGTGCTTGGTAGCCATATTGGCTGAAATCTTGCGAAATTGACAGGACACGACTTTTGGAATGTATTGTTGAATGCAGCAACTGACCGACGCCAAGGAAGCTCATGCACCTGCACCGCCACTCTGCTGGGAACTATCCCCTCCAGTCTCCCAGTGACTTGTTGCCAGATTATTACAGGCTGCTGTACCATCTGCGCATGGAGTGCAAGCACGCGGTCCTCAAGGAGTAATCTTGTTGTCATTCGTCCATGGGCTTAATGGATGATGCAGCGCTCTGCTGCCATCTGCTTTCAAATTGATTCTTTACAAAGTGCCAAAACTTCTGATGGAAGCAGCCAAACAAAAAAGGGTCACTGCACCAAAGAAATTTCGGATGCTGGAGATCGCTCATTCAACCGTGTTGGGGATCAAATCCATGGCAGCCACAAATGTCTAATACCTTTATTCTCGGATGTGACGTCATGTAGGTCGTGAAGGTGATGAAGGTCATGAAATCATAAGTTAATGAATTTGTGAAGGTCACAAAGGTCATGAAGGCCGGTTTGGGGTTTCTGAGTGCTTTAGAATTTGGTATTTTAGGCCCCTAGTACTCTTCAACACCTTTGTGAACCCTTCAAAGCTTTCATATCCGATAGTGATAGGCATCAGACAATCCTCGTGGCAGCATGCATGCGCATTCAAGACTGAAACCCAACTGAGGCCAGGAAATGCAGAGTGTGCGCGATTTTGCTACCAGTATGGTTGCGTAAAGTTCAGGCAGTACTTAACGCTGGACCTCTGGTTGCTACACAGAAATTCTCTACTACCCATGTGAAAGATGACTCTGTCCATTGAATGAGGCTAGCATTGGGCACCTGGCCAATGTGAATACCTTGGTGTGCATGTTTCAGCTTAAGCTCCCCGATAGAGCCATTTTACATGAAGGATGGACTGGCAATCTGTCAGAGGGAAACGACATTGCGCTTCTGAAATTGAAGAGCAAGTCCAAGCATATTCCAGTCAGTCTTCCTACGACATTTCACAAGCTACCGCTTGGTGGCAGTCTTGTAGCTCTTGGGTGGGGTGTTGGATCTGGTGAGCATCTTCAACAAGCAGCCACATTGAAAGTCATCGAGAATGAAGTCTGCAGTGGTGAGGATGTTTGGGGAGACATCATAGTCGACTCCATGATCTGCGCATTCAGCCCCGAAGGGCAAGATGTTTGTTCAGGTGCGTTTTCTGAGCCGTTCATTAAATGCCGCGCAATTCTGTTGTCCCTGTAAATTCCAGGCAATAATTTGTTCTAGCTGTTCACATTGACGAGACTTGTTGGCAATCTACACAGCCAGGCACCTGCATTATGTGGCGTTTGATAGTGTCACCAACCAAATGGTAACCATGAATTGCCTCGAAGCTCAACAACGTTGCCCAAGGTTGGAAAGCATGCAAATGCAAATAATGTTTGAAGTGATTAATATATGCTAAAATGGAGTGAGTTTGGGCAGTGCGACTTCATACATGTTGCACACTGTTCATGTCGTAGCTTCAGCTGTGCCCATGGCGACGGGTCTGTGCATATCAAATGAACGCAATTAATCATCTTGATCGCGAAGGCCCACCATAATCAGCAAAAATGACCTGGTGGTCTCACTGGGTTCCTTTGAGTGGTATTTTCGATACCTATGAGTCCAGTACCCCACTCACAATATGTTGGGACAGCTGCAATTGCACGAGTACAACAGCGCTTTCACAACACTGCCTGCAACTATGCTTTTCACCATCTTTTGTTGTTCGCCTTCATGGGAAAATACTTCTAAGCATTGTCTCAGTGCTGTACGCCTCCCTCACCGTCCTCACAAACGTCGCATGTCGCGAACCGGCAGTCGACACGCACACAGTTGTGTGCCTAAACCGTCAACACTCGTGCAGCGCTGCAAGGGAAACAACACCATAAAGCTCTATACGACACGCCTCCTCGGCGTGTCAGCAAGCTTATGTGCAAGTTTACAGTTGAACGCACGCCTTCCGGGCGTTTTGCACACGTCTGTGGCCCATTGGGACGTGTGATTTCACATCCAGCCAGCCCTACCGACCCGTGGTACTGTCGACACCAACGCCACCGGTACCAAAAGACGGGTGCGCTCCGAACGATACCCTGCGCTGGACTTGGCGGTTTTCCGACGCGGTACACATGTGCACACACAGCCAACAACGTCACAAAACAGGCCACCGCTTCTCGCAGGGCTAAACAAACAAGTTCAATGGGTGGAAAGGTAAACAACACTCCCCTTTGAGAGTTGAAGCAAGACCCCTTCAGGGTAAACAACAAGCACACGAAACGAGGGCTGCCGACAGCTTGCACCTTGCAGTGCCAACCACAATGTAGGCTGTTCGCACATTCAGAGATGAGCACACCTTTCGGTATCCCAAGAGACAGAGGAAGCCTTGCCAAAGGTGGCCCAACGGCCTTACACTCGAGTGTCCGAAGTCACAACAGTAGTGCCGACTCCCCAGCACAAGCAAACGGCAAGGACACGCCTCCCCCCGCGCCGTCAGCTCAAATACGCAGATGGTGGGGGGCCTGCAGAATCTAGAGATGCCTGTCAAATCACAGAATATTCCCTGTCACAGATCCACAGCCACTGACTGGTCAGAACACAACGTTGTGAGCCTTGCTGTGCTGCACAACGGTCACCAGCACTGCACACGGCCACCCCAGAGATTCCCTGGCCAAACGCTCATTTCATAACATAGTAAGACACACATAAAGCATGTGTAAAGTCCAGTCGCCTGCATTCCCACAGCAGTTGAGACATCTTGTCCTATCAAAATAACCAATGTAAAATATCCCAAAGTACACCGCAACTCAGCAAAACCCGTTGAATTCAAGCATGCACACTTGACAAGTATAAAAACGCCTTGCAAACCCAAATTAAAATACCCCCTATTCATGTTCACACAACTTTAAAAAAACACTTCCTTTTTTAGGTTTTTCTGCTCCCGAATGCCCACTCACGAGTCACACATCTTGTCATCTTCATCAAAGAGCCCAAGGTGGGCTGGCAGAGGTGCCTTGGAGGCTTCTTCAATTAACATCTTCTCCACCTTCTCCTGAACTTCTGCCACCCTTTCCTCTTCTTTCTTCTCTCACTCTTTTTTCCCTCAGAACTCAATGACATATTCAAGCCACCATTGTGGCAGCTTCACCACAGGAATGTGCCTCTTTGAACATGCTTGGGCATCCGCCAAGGTTTCCAGCAGTAAATGCATATAAAATGCAACACTGCTGAATTCGTGGCTTTGAATCCAGGTGGCTAGAACCTGGACTCTCTTTGGGTACGTAGCTGAATACTTCTCATGGTGCTGAGGCTCAAGGGAGAACAACCTAGGCTGCCTTTTCAAAACCCCAACAAATGCACACAGCTCATTTTCTGCATCACTTTCTCTTGCCTCTTGTGGGGGGTACCTATTATTCCCCAATGGCTTTGTGTTTCTCAACCTGTTAGCTGCCCAAGCCACCTCACCTGTCACATGGACTACGTGATTGCTTTGGTGCACCACCTCCCACTCAACCTCTAGGTCCCCATGAAAACTGGTATGTAAACTAAATTCACATCTTCCCCTAACTTTTCTGAACCCTCTGCCTTGGTCTCCCTCTGCTTGGAAGCTTCCTTCGGTGTGGTCACAAGGTCAGCACCTTCCTTAGGTGCTAGCTCTGTTTTTGCCTCCTGCAGGGTCGCCTCACTGGGCCCCACGGGCCCAGATTCTGGCGTAACGGGCCCCGTGAAAATGGGGGGAACCAGCTTCCCGTGGGTTCCCCGGCGGCGTAGTCACCCCCGCCGGTCCGACGGCACTTGGCCCTGTGGTCCTCCGTGCCCAGTTCCAATCCCTTGACGGACACCCCGAAAGGCATCGCCTCCCACTCCTCCTCCTCGGAGGGGAAGGCGTGCCAACAGCGCCCACGGGTCTTCCCCCCCGGCGACTCACCCCCGCGTGTCGCAAGCCCAGCGCATCCCTTTCGCGGGGCGCACCGTCCGACCCAGCGCCCCCCTCCGCGGGGGGCGCGGCCTCCGATCCCGCAGGCGCATCGAACCCCACCGCCCGGATTCTGGTCAAGCGCACGGCGCAGAGCACAGCGGGAGTTGTGGCGCGCTTGGCTGCCCTTCGCCTCGGGAACCCGCACCGTCGCTTGGATGGTGATGTAGGCATCGCCATCCATTCCCATCCGGCGGTCCATGATGTGGGCCTCCCGCCATCCGCCCGGATCCGCCACCGCCGCCGAAACGGCCAACCATTCCGCTGGCCCCCACTCGTCCGAGTCCATGCCAAGGGCCAGCTCATAGCGAGGGGCTTCTGCGCCATGCTGCAACCCACACCGGTCTCGGTCAACGCTCCCGCGGTCAGAGCAAATGTGCGTGCGCGAGTCGGGCTACTAGGGGGTTACTAAAGCCCCTGCCAGCACCCAGGTCCAACGGTGTGCCAAGGGGATCAAACGGGATGATCCCTGAGGTTGCGCCAGCATACTTATTAAGCTTGCAACGCACTCCACCTTTTGCAGGTGTCAAGTATACATGGTAGTACCAAAATTACAGTGTACCGCCTTACATTCAATGGGTCTGGAGAGCCACAGTGCTGCCACATCATAAAAGTGACAGGTGCTTTCACAAAACAATAAAAAAGCGCCCTTGCACCCGTGCGGCCCCCACACAGCGCATGGCCAGCCCACCCCTGTGTCACATAGACAACAGGGGAAACGGGCCTGACCCATGGGGGCTTTTTACAGCACATTGGCAGCTGCACAAAATGTAGAAAAGAAAGTGGTGTTACACACAACCACTCTAAAGACAAAACAAACCCTTCTAAGTGTCTGACAGAAGTAGTCAGCCCTACCCATTCAAAATGCAATGGATGGGCTGTCGGTCCTTTCATAGGGCCATGCACAATCCAGTGCACTTGTCTCCTAAAAACAACCACCAAACTCTCACACGTTCCCTTTTCTCCACTAGGCCAAACGATTACTTTTTTTCACAATGACTACACACTTTCGCCCCAAATCAGTATGGCTTGCACAGCCAACCATGGGGGAAGTGTAAAACAGTACTTTCAACGCACAGGGTGAGGGGAGTCAACCTACTTCTGACTCTCACTCCCTCACCCTAATCGTGCGTTGAATTTGCCATGGCCATCCTGGCCCATGACTTTTAGTGCATGCAAAAGTTTTAGTGAGAGAGCTAAAAATAGCCTTGCATAGCACAAGGACTGACACCGTGCCTGGTCTCTGAAATCCCACAGAGCCAACACACCTGCCATGTCAGAACTGTGTGTGTAAGTGCCTTTCAAGACCTCCGCTTGAATGTAACCTTACACATCACATAAAACCCCGTTTTTTCATGTGAATTACTGGACTATACGCCTTTCCTCATCAGGTTAGGTAGCCCAGATGGTCTTTCTCAGACCAGGGATGTGCTAGCTAGGCTCACCCCAATTCACCCACCCAGCATGGGCCCTTGAGGTCCAGGACCTCCCAGAATCGTCTTTGAACCCAGTCAGTCTGGGGAGCTGACTGGTGACACGGATCTGTTGAGAACACAGGGCAGCATCTTATATCCAGCCCTCGTCTCCCTAACCTTACACCGCCCTCGTTCTCACTCCTAAGGTTTGCAGCTGTCTGCTCATAACCCATTTTCAGAGTGTTTCCTCTTTGTTTTCTTTTCTTTTTCTTTTAAATTCAGCAATGGTGGCATACTCGGGCCATCCCATGCAATGCATACAGCGGATACGGCAGATACCCATCGTACGCCAATTACATAAGTGATCCACCCAGTGAAAACGGTGGTCATTATGTGGCGTCACGAACAACCTGATAATTATTGCGCTTACTTGCACTACTTGCTAATACATTGCAAGCGCATTGCTGTCACAATTGCACCTTAGACTTACAATGATGCTGATTAGGACTGTGACTTACTTTTGCTAACGTTGCAATTTCGAAGTCCCTTAACCTCCTTTTAATGCTCCCACGTCCGGCACCCTTACAAAATGGAATCCTCTAATGCACACAAACTCTGATCCCATTTGGCTCAGTTGGGGCATTGTAGTGTTCCCACATGGCATTAAAAGCTTACATAGATATGTGAACTTTCTGCGTACATGTACGAGTACATTGTACAATGGCTTGCAGATTTGGCATCTAAATAGCTGTAACCAAGAATTTGTAAATCTTTTGGCCACAAAAGAGTCCAGATTCTCCAAGTGCAGACGGCAGCGACACATATCGTGTCGCGATTAGCAGTTCCCAGTGAATAACATCATCCAAAGAGTTTCCAGGGCCGCGTTGACCCAATACTGCACTTCATGGGTTTCCAGGAGACAGCGGAAGTCCGCTCCTGGAGGCATTCTCGCCCATGGGAAACATTTCCGCAGGGAGCCCGGCCCTGGACGTCGCCATCGGCATCACGTCATTTGGGCAAGAGTCTCGCAATTGCGGCGACGCAGAGCGGCCCAGTGTGTTCACAAGGCTGAGCAGTTTTCGTCTCTGGATAGATTCCAAGATCAAGGTGCGGCAAGTGCGACAATTGCCTCGGATTCGTTCAGCGCATGACGTAATCTATTTTGCAGCCCAGCCAAGCAACACACATCAATGTAACTGTGAGAACACGTGTTATTTTGCCCATTTTTCTTAGAGAAAGCGACTGCCTAGAATTGCATGCATCTGCGTTGTTTTCTGCCATAGTTGCCAGAATCTGAATTGCATACCGGTCATCCTTGTATGATTCACAGGGTTTCAGAAATATTTGCAGAAAATATTCACCTTTTAATCACTTAGAGCACGCGCTAGCCCGCATCAGTAATTCGGTAATCTGGTCTCTCAAGTTGATCTTGCTTGCTCCATGTCAGCAGTCAAATAGGTAGTAATTGGAACACACCCATGACATGAAAACGCAAAATTTGTCAGTGCGCAATGCATGCCCTTGAGTGAGCGGAAGTCAATGAATCCAATATGGCATTTAGAACCATGAGAAAGTGCTCCCTACATGCTACTACGTGCGGAGCCTCTAAGCGAAGGTGAAACTAATTGATGATTGCACCGCGGCACGAGATTGAGTGGCCAGGTGGATTTCAGAGCATCGAGTATCCGTCAGATTGGCTTGCGCTGATCAGGGGAAGGAGTTGCCACCTCCCACCGCACCCACGCAGGCAGAGACGCCTGCATCTCCTTCCTCAGAAATGGCGCCATCGACGGTACCTGAAGAGCAGGGAAACAGGTCAGTAGAGCCGCCACAGGAATCACCCGATCAAGGTCCAGGAGAGCCACCAGAAGATGCCATACCCGATAAACCGACAGTTGCGCCCCCAGAGGTACAATGCTGGCCTGTTGGATTGAGTGCGGTATCCAAACTACGACCAATGAAAATAAATATCTCCGTTGATTATGTGAATGAGTTTCTGTGGATGTATTCTTATCATTACTTTTGTTATTGTGATTTTATTACTACTGTCACCACTGCAAAACAATGACACCACTAATCATGCATCGCGACACCGATTTCTCAGTGTTGCATTGCCCCTGTTTGAAATTGGTGGTTCGCAACCGTTGGATTATGAACCCGTGTTGTGTCCAAGGGAATCGGACGCATCTGCGATGGGGAAGGAAATTTCAGAGAAGAGGTCATCTCCGGCTCCTACACAGCAATGGGCACCAATCCCGAAGGCTCGGACCCAACAAGCTACAGCGGGATTGTGACCTTGGGCCTCGCTGAGGATGGCATTTTCCGGCAGGCTTGGCTGATTGGCAAGTCTGACTACAGAGGCACGGGGGTGCTTGTCGGCGACGTTCTCGCGGTGGACTGGGGTGCCAAATTTCCAGTGAATTATCAGGTGCAGTGCAACGGCACGCTGGTGGGGACGTGGGCCAATGGACTGGCGAGTGAGACCTTGACCCCATCGGGCTGCGAAGGGGAGGCGATTCAACCGGGCGACCTGGCTGGTTCGTACACAGTCAGGGGGACGAACCCATCTTCCATAGGGACTCTGGACGATCCATACGAAGGTGTTGCAACGGTAATGGAAGAAACTCCCAATTTCTATCGAATTAGCTGGCGGGTCGGTGCAGGCGCGACTGCGACCATGAGCTCAGGCACATTTGCGCTTGAGGGAAAAACTGTCAGTGTGGACTGGGGCGACATTGAAAGGTACCCAACTGTCTACGACCGGCATTGCGGGAGGGGCATCTTGCTCGGAATCTGGGCGGATGGCAAAGGCACAGAGACTCTGCTGCCTATTGAGTGCGGCCGAGAGGTTGGAAGGGACCTGTCTGGCAGCTATGACGTCTTTGTGGTTGGAACTGATGGGATTGTGCAGGCAGGCACAGAGGTACTTGAAGCGGGGGTCGGGGACGAGTACACTTTGGTTCGCACAATCGACACAAGAAATGTAACAGGCCAAGGTAGCCTGGAGGGCAGCACCATGGTGGTAGGGTGGAGCGAGGGACCGGCAGCCACCTTTGCTGTGGACTGGTGTGGAGGTTTTCTGCTTGGGGTTTGGGATGATGGGGAAGGCTTCAATGTGACAAAGGAGCACTTAGTGCGACGAGCATAAGCTTGGTTGCCAAAGCGCTGCAACAAACGTTAAGTTTTTTTTGTCAGAGGTCGACGGCAGGTCAACCTCCATGCTGCGTGCCTGGTTGTGTGCATGATGTGTACGAGAGAGGTGCAAGAGATACTTGATTTAATTTTAATGCCAAGAAATGATGATGCGGTGGGCGTATATGGCTGCGCGCATCACCCCAATGCAATGTGAGCTCATCTTCACAATTCCATCACACTACTGCGGCCACTGCACGCGCTGTTTTGTTGCCAACCAGGCAGTGTTCTCCGTGTCAAGATCCCTGGCGGATAAAGCAATGGTGGCATTCCAAACCCGATGCCCGGGTGGGACTCGAACTGGCACTGGATACTTTTAACCAACAACGCTGGTCTCATGTGTGCCCTTTTGAATAAGCAGGCCATTAGGCACGCGTGCATGACTACGACCGGCTACACCGCAAGTTTACCGCATCGTTTCAGTCAGCCCATCGTGAGACGAGGTGGCAGCACTTTCCGTGGTTGTGGCAGGCGACGCGACCCCTGGCACAAAGCGCCAGCGCTTCAGCAGTGCGCCCACGCAACGTCACACCCGCTGCCCCCGCCTTCTTGACCCCGGCTGCGCGCCCAATTCCTTGCACTAATCGCTACGCAATCGCCGTCACCCAATTACGACACGATTACCCAATGCCAGGCCAGCCATTGGAGGGATGCGAGGCTGCCACTCCGAGGCCCGTGCCCGATCTGTCGAGGCTGTTCAGAGCGACAGGGGAGGGGGCAAGCCGACGGCGTGCGGCCGCCCATCGCGCATTGCCCGCTGTCTGGTAATCGGAGACCGGCGTCTCTTAGCGGGGCCTCCGGGTGCCTACCCCGCAAGGTCCTTGAAGGGACCGACCGCTTGGACCGGTGAGGCTGACCGCGCCGTCCGATTCTTTGCCCCGGTCCAAAGCGGAAGGAAAAGGGGAGCTCACACATCCCGCGCAGCCCCATCTTCGGCAGGGGAGGCCAGAAGGCTGGAGGATGGCGGCGGCCCTGCACGCCGGCGCGCTGCTGCTGCTCATGCTGTGCCTTGGCGGCGCGGTGGCTGAGGGGGACGGTGAGTTCGGTTTTCCATGCTCGGGAGGCGCGGACGGCTGGATGCTTGAGTCGTGTGGAGCGTTAATCCGCGCCGGGGGGGTTCAGCAGGGCGGCGGCTCTCGCGAGACGCCGGTGCCGCGGCCCCCACGGGGCCCTGTCCCCCAAGGACGCGCAAATGATAACCGAGTTAACGTAATGTATGACCGGCTTTGCTCGTTTTGACATTTTAGCTGTGCGGTTTAGCCTCTGTGTTCTTTTGAAAGACCTATTGCGTTTTTGGCTCTGCACTCTTTTGATGTTGTTCATTTTTCTGTGCGCTCCGCACCATGTTTTGGCGACTTTAAGCTGTGCAGACGCTCTGTAACGACAGAGTTAGCGTACCATAACACCTCTGCGCATTTTGACCTTCAAACTATGCGGTTTTGCCTCTCTGTTGTGTTGAAAGGCCTGTTGCTTTTTTTGGTTTGCATTCTTTTGGCGTTGTGCTCCGCGCCGTGTTTGGAGCGTGAGTCGTGCATAGCAAGTTGCTTGTGGAGCTGACCAGCTCACCAGCACATGCTGTGCCTGCGCCTTGGGAGCGAAGGAGGGGGGGCGCCACGGGGTTTTGGGGGTGGGAGGGGGGACGAAGCGCGCATCCATGGGGCCGTGCTGCCAAAGGCGACAGGGAGCAGTGGGTGTGCAAGGCAATGCAAGCCAGGCCTGCCAACCCAGGCCACAATCAATGCTCGATTGTGTGGCCATCCACAAACAGAGCAGCAATTGCATTGGTTCTGATTGAACTGCCAAAGGGCGTCCAACAATGGCGGCCGATGCTGTCGCATATCTGGCGGTCAATGGCTGCATGGTTTCGATGGGAAATAGCGTCCACTGCACCGATTTTGTGGCGCAGCGAGCAAAGACAGTTTTTTGGTCTGTATGCACCGTGGCTTGCTTTGCTCGCACGCACTGTTTTGCACACAAATCATGCAAGCAAGTCACTTCAAAAATTTCAACAACTTGGGGACCATGTTCAAAAGATCTCACAAGCGGTTGCAAACCTGGCACCGATAGGAACTGGCTTGGAAGTTACGTTTGGTCAGCGCTACATTATTCTCAAACGTTGTTGCTGTCTTTGATATTCCTCCGCAACAGAGTGGCCCATCCTTGTGTTTCGATGCAAAAGAGGTTAATATGCTGAGTGCGCACGCTGGAGCCAGCCGACTAAGCAGGATCAGTGCTGCTGGCCATGTCAGCACATTATGTGATCGGTTCTGGTTTTCATCCACTGCTTTCGGGGCACAGATGCGTGCACTGAGAACAACAGGTGTGTTTTTTGGCTCGCATTTGTCCAAAATTGTAGAGAATGATAGGTGGTCTGGGGAGAAAAACACATTGCAAAGGGAGATTGAAGTAGCAAAATATCGCAACTCACTCTGCATCTGTGGGTGCACAGTCGTTGTGCCATTGCACCACAGAATGAAGGAACAAGTTTTTGTGCTTGTTTGCAGAACACCCCTTTGTAAAAGGTGGGTGCAGGACAAAATGATATCAAATTATATGCAGATATACATCAGATTGAATACCAAGAACTTGTGGTCATTCTGCTGGGAAAGGTGCTGTAAGGAAGCTCATTAGTGGCAGGTTTCTAATGTGAGGGTGTCTGCATACTCCAGGGGAACTGTCACATGATGGGGCTGAACAGTTAAGGCGCCTGGTCCAGTCCGTACCAGCAATGCCATTCATTGTGGTATGTATCTGTTCTCTTCTGCAGTGAAATCTTGTGCCGATTTCTGTGATCAAGTTGGAGTTGAAACAACCATATTCACACTGCATCTTCCTGGAGGGCTCTGGGGTTGATTAGCATGGGATATGTTCCAACAAAACCTATTTTCATATTGATTAGGGCTTCTCTTGCGATGCAAAAATGTCTAATTGAGAAGTCCAATGTTTCATCACACATCCTGACTTTTGCTTAAATCGCTACATTGCACAAGGGAGCATCTATGGGTGTATTTTTTGTAAAGCGCTTTAGATTAGTTGCCTCATCTAAATGCACAAGCCATCGACAATGGTTATATGTTGGGGGTGAGTGCAATCCTTTGAAGCACGTTATTTATGCTCGAGCCCAAGGGGCAATCGACCAGGCATGGGAGTTTGGGAGTACTGAGCATCAAAACAAGTGCAATGTCATGGACATCAAACATGACAGCTGAGGATATGCCTATCCAATGCGTAGCTGATACACGATATAGTAACGACCAGGATAGGATACTGATGATGTGGCGGGATTTCGGCAATAGCAATTCCATTTCCCATGGAAATGGCTGCATAATCTGTGTATAAGTATCCAGTGTATGGCACCCAAATCATATTGCATATTCAAGATATAAGAAATTGTCCAGTTTTGGGTTGCATCAGATGTAGGCTGACATTGCAAGTGCTGGAATCAGCACATTTAAACAGATTGAAACAAACTTCCACTGGTACACTGGAATCGCACGCTTAAATTCACTGTGATCATTTGTAAACTTTAGCATCGGTGCTTGCAATTGGCCCTAAATCAGGTCACCACCCACCCTTTATTTGCCACAAACATACTTATGAAATATGAACAATCTCCTGGTCAATGGAGGTACAAGGCGCATTTATTTTGATGCTGAGATGTCGTCTCCACTTTCTGCAAGGATGTTGTGACCAATTCGGATCGCTGGGCTTGCTTTTCAACTGAACAGTTGCATGGTTGTTCCAGGGTGGGACTCCAGCACCTTGTGGACGGTACCCTTATATGGTTTCGCTTCGCAGCGCAGAAAATGTGCACAAGTGTGGAGGCATTCTTGTCCACAAGCGGTGGGTGGTGACAGCTGCTCATTGCGTGGATCCAGCCGACCCAAGCAGCCTTGGGGCCACGCCAATATTAGTCATTGGGGGCTGCACCCTTGGCGACAAATCAAACGAGAATGGCAAGGTTGAGGTGAGTGTGATTCGTATCTTGATGGCAGTATACCCAGGCAAAGGTGCCCTCCAGGACAGCCAAAACTTGTTGTCTCATTCTGCCAAATTTTTAAATGGTTGGTATCAGATTTGCTGCACTCCGACACTCTTGACCATGGTTTGAAATTGTTCAATCTTTGAACAAAATATGTGTATGGCCTGATTTGGGAAACAGGGGTTTCTGCGTAATTCAATAACAGGATCTTGCTCATGCAATTTGCTTATCAACTGATGCCCAGATGCTTGGGCAAATGCACCCCAAATTTCAGTGTAACCATGGTGCTTGCACTGTCGCACCATATAAAATGGCACAGTCAAGTGACACGAAGTTTGTGTTAATTAGTGTTGATCATTGTTAATTACGTCAGAAAAAATTTTGCATAACCTTGGATATGGAGACGCCCATATCCTGACCCATATTCAGGAAATCGAATATGATATGGGAGGATATGCATACTCTGGATATGGGCTTCCATATCTGGGATAAGGCGAGGATATGGCTGGGGATATGGCCATATCCCTGGATATGGGCGTCCATATCCTGGGATATGGCGTGGATATGGCAGAGTATAGCATGGATATGCTGGTGATATGGGCACGTAGGGTAGGCGATATGAACCAGAGGCACGCACAATCTCTGAAACAAACTGTATTACGGATTTTACAACAATTGCAAATGAATTATCCCTCCATATCTCTGGTGTACTAACTAGATATCAAATCATCCACCTGTCAGTTCTCTAAGTAGTCTTATCATGAATGCAATGACAACAACTCCCATCAAGCATTCCTTTGCGCCAATACCTGCCAGACTGCCACCCCGATTGAGCTTTGGCACCGTCATGCAATACTCCACCGGCAGCCTCATGAGTGGCCACCACCGGTGTCGACATCACCTTGTCATCTTCGCCGTTAATGCCTCTCCACCTGCCACGCATACAAGCGTAGTTTCAGTGCACACCAGCACCCTGCCATGACACACAACAAACTGTGCAACACCACCATGAATACAACATTGCCCTGCCATTTCCTGATTACCGCCAAACACTCTGACATCCACCAATATCCACAAACTGCCATGGCCCACGTCCTCCACAGCACGTCCGCTAAGATCTGTTCACATCGCCCGCACTCAACACAGGCAGATCTTTGGCACCTCCAAGACGAGTTCGGCCAGCCAAGACCGCCCTGGCTGATTGAGGCAAGGACCCGAGCGACCCAAACAAGCACCGGACAGGATCCGACATCCGCCCGCCAGACAGCAGCACCACGGCACAGCACAGCACGTCCGCTGCAACCGCCCAACGATAGCCGCCCAACGACATGCCCGATGGCCGCGCGCCCCTCCCACCGTTCCGCTTGGCCGCGCACCCCCCACCGCTCCGCCGCGCACATTCATCGCGCATCCCACCACCAGGCCTCCAGCTCGCGTCTTCGCATCGCCGCCATGGTGGTGCGCCGTGTCTCGCTTCGCCGGTGGCGGCCGTGCTCCACGCCGCCCCGACTTGGTAGCAGAGCACGGGGATGGAGGAAGGGTTTGGCGGGAATGACAGCAACCAGAATGCCCAAATTGATGGACGTTGTCTACTGGGGCGGCGCTGGCGTGATCATTATGTAATAGTGCTGTAATGTTAGTGTAATGATCGTGTCGTGTTTTGGGGCAGGCAAAGTACACGGATTGACAGATACTGACTGATTGAAAGAATAAATTGAACTGGTAACGAGCGCCGGCGGCGGCACGCTGTTGACTGGTCAAGGGCAGGTTGGGAGGCGCAACGCCAAAGCACTGCAAACACGGCGTTGGCACATGGGAAGGCCTGGTCCCGGCCAGGTATTGCAGAGGCGATCGCTTGCATTCCGACCCCCGCCATCACCTTGCCATTTCCTATGGCACGTATCCCTGGATATGGGTGCCCTTATCCCAGGATATGGGCACCCATATCACGGGATGTGGTGAGGATAAGGGCGAGGATATGGCCACATCCCGGGAAATGGAGCCATGTGGCCACATCCAGGATATGCAACTTTTTCCGACGTATTTAGTTGGTTAAAACAACGAGTCTTGTTTTCACTGTCCAAATAAAGAGCTTCCCAGTGGAATGCAAGGAGAATCCATCAATGTAAAGGACCCATCAGCACATGCTATCGCAACTTTGTATTCTCAGTGCCAGCCATCCTTCGCAACACATTTTTGCATACTTCAGTCATTTGGGAATTTGGAATGTCGAAAATTCAGAATTGGGTAAGAAATATCAAGCATCGCATGCCTATACGCATGCACGCAGATTGTCGCAACATATACACCACAGCTTCTGTTTTGCTTAGAGCTGTTCTTCAGTTTCCATTTGCAGAAGTGCTGAGCATGTCTTGGATTACAATTATTGTCAGTTGCGCAAGGGCTTCTTGGTTTTGCAGTGCAGCAGGAGCTGAGCTGCCGCTATTAGAGAATCAGCACAAACATACAGTAGACAGATAAGATAAGTCTGTATTTGGGGAGAATTTATGCAAAAGGGAAAAAACATGCCACCACCAGTTGTTGGCTGGATAACTGGTGGTTTTGATGGATGGAAATTTTCTTCTATTGTAAAGTATCTAAATAGGCTCACAATTTCAAACGTCAGACTGATGTGCACGCACAAGTCATCTGCTCATGGCAAACCCCTCCAGAATCCCAGTAGCTTGTTGGCAGAGTCTCCTAGGCCGCCCTGCCATTGAGGTACATAATGCAACGATGCAGTTTAATGTCATCTACTGAATGGGGTCGACATTGTTTTCCTGCTTAATGTGTCTGGGTTTGTTTTGGATTTCAGGTTAGTCGCCCTGATAGAGCCATTATACATGAAGGATGGACTGGAAATCCAGTAGAGGGAAACGACATTGCGCTTTTGAAATTGAGCAGCAAGTCCAAGCATATTCCGGCCACTCTTCCCACAGCATCTCACATGCTACAGCGGGGTTACAATCTTGTGGCCCTTGGATGGGGCTCTGGATCTGAAGAGCATCTCCAACAAGCTGCCACGTTGAACATCATCAAGAACGATGTCTGCCGTGGCGACGCTGTTTGGGGAGACGTCATAATCGATTCCATGATCTGTGCATACAGCCCCCAGGGCCAAGATGTTTGTTCAGGTGGGTGCTCCAAGCAATTCTTCAAATACAATGTGATTTGGTCCTCCAATGCCAGACGGCTACTGTGTTTGAATTGTAGGCATTGGCAAAGCATGTTAGAAAACCTGCGCAGCCAAATACCTGTATTGTGTGTGATTCAGTGGCATGTTTTAATCATATGCAAACCATGAATTGCCCCAAGTTCCAGCAATGGTGCTGAATTTCCACCAACAGGTAGGTACAAACAGTGCTGCTTGTGAAGAATTATGCTAAAATGCAGTGGAAGGGGGCAACAAATCTTCCTGCTGGATGTACCTGCATCACCTTGTGTTTCATAATATTGGCTGTGACAATGAGAAAGGGTCTTCACATATTACAAGGCTGTGCATTGCTCATATCCAGAATGTTTCTGCTTACATATGTTTCGACTGAGCAAATGGCAAATGTACTTCTCTCATGATCGCACTTCTGACTATATGTCACAAACCACTTCAGACAGCTAATGTTGATCATGCTGTGGAGTCCAGGGCGCTTGCGCTCCTTTTCAGACCTGATGTACCAGAATCCTCGCAAAGAAAATTCCATCATACACACATTCTCGGATCACTTCTAGTTTTGTGGGCCACTTTGTGGACTGATTTGCATCGAGGTTATTGAATATTTTTACTAATATTTGCATCCAAAAACGCATGGTAAAGTTTTCTTGCTCACAAAGTAGTCCAGAATCCTACACCACAAACAGTAATGAATTAAACCTGTTACAATTATCATTTTCCAGGAATATGACTGCCATCTGCGAGTTTTCGAATGCCGCTTTCACCCAATATTGTACTTAATTGTGGTACAGGTGATAGTGGAGGCCCCCTCCTGGAGGCATTCTCGCCCATGGGAAACCTTTCAGCAGGAAGACCTGCCGTCGACGTCGCTGTCGGCATCACATCCTTTGGACAGGAGTCTCGCAGCTGCAGCGATGCAGAGCGGCCCGCCGTGTTCACAAGATTGAGCAGCTTTCGCTTATGGATAGATTCCACCATTCAGGTGTGGCTCCTATTCCAGTTTTTCTTGGAATGCGTTGCGTTCGTCACTTCCTTCGCTGTTCACGCTGCTTACGTTGTTAGAGCATCTTATTTTTGCATCCAAACCAGACGACTGTGTCACTGTGAATACCTTCGCCTCATTGTCCATCTAATAGGAGTCTGGTCGTTTTGTAATGCAAAACAAATAAATAAATTTGAAGCCAATTGAAATACATGCGAAGTGGTGGCTGACTGGGCATCCTACGTCATTCTCATTGCACCCGAATCCGCCATAACCGCCAGAATCTAAATTGCGTGCTGGGCGCCATCTGCATTATTCAAATGTTTTTGCAAGTGGCTGCACTGAGAGGAATGCTCGCCCTGTAATCACCACACATGCACGCTCGTCTCCAAGTCGATATCGTAGCGTGCAATCTTCAGTTCATTGTGTGTGCTCCCTACCAGCAGCGCAATGGTGTCAAACACATTTGTAGTGATCTCGCCCACTGGCAATTGGCACATTCGACTTCTGCCAGCACGCAGCATATGTGGCACAGTGCGCGGGTGCCAACACGATTATTAAAGTATTAATTGCGTTTTGCAAGCGGTCTCCGCATGCTGCTATATGCAGAGTCTAATCAGAGATGGGCAAACTTCGTCGCAGTAACGTGGCACAAGATTGGGGGGAGTGTAGCACTATAGAGCATCGCGTTTCCCTTGCGCATATCCATCTGTTTGAATTGCGATGCCCAGGGAAAAAAACTGCCGTCTTCCGCCCCACCCACGCCGACAGAGCCGACGCCTTCTCCTCCTGAACAAAAGGCACCACCGGCGGTGCCTGATCGGCAGAGAAACCAGCCAGAAGAGCCCCAAAACGAAGCGCCCCAAGATGGGCCGGGAGATTCAGCAGAAGAGTCCACGTCCGATGCACCGCCAGCTTTGCCCCCACAGGTACAGTCGACATTGTTTTGATGCCAATGTGTTGATGAGAGCGTTTTGACACAAGCAACTACTGGCAACTACTGAGCCTTCAACCACATTTCGCCACAATGCATTGGTGGATTGTGTCCGAAAAGTGAGTGGCATCCAGGCTGCACTGACGGCAACATCTAAACTGCCGTCAATAGGACCAAGAGTGTCTATGAGTTGAATGGTTGTGGTCAGTGGCAATGCCGTTGTTGCCATAACAACAATAGCCACAAGTACTAAGATTGATATCACGTTTATTCTGTTGTTGCTGATGATGTGGACGTCATTGTTGCTGCCACCGCAAAATACCACAGCCGATAATGGTTAACTTTGACGCCGTCTTGCCAATGCTGCACTGCCCGACAGATTTGATTTGCAACCATTGACAACGGCTCTGTGTTCTGTTCCAAGGGAAGTGGACCCCTGTGCGAAGGGCAAGGGAAAATCATAACGGAGTCCATACCGGGTTCCTACACAGCAATAGGCACCAATCCCAAGGGCACTGCACCAGAAACCTACCGGGGTTTTGTCACCCTGAGCATCGATGAAGATGGCTTCTTTCGACAGGCGTGGCTGATTGAAGAGACGTTAGATTACAGAGGACAAGGGGTGCTCGTCGATGACATTCTCACAGTAGACTGGGGCAGCACGTTTCCAATAGTTTACCGGGTGGGGTGCAACGGCACGCTGGTGGGGACATGGGCGAATGGACAGGCGACCGAGACCTTGATACCGGCGGGCTGCCAAGGAGAAGGGATCCAACCAGGCGACTTGTCAGCTTCGTACACAGTCACGGGAACTAATCCGGCGTCCATAGGAGCTCTCGACGATGTGTACGAAGGTGTTGCGACGGTGACTGAAGAATCTTCCAAATTGTACCGAATTAACTGGCGGGTAGGCACAGGCGAGACCGCGGCCATGAGCTCGGGAACCTTCTCGCCTGAAGGGAACACCGTCAGCGTGGATTGGGGCGACTTAGAAAGGATCACGACAGTATATGACTGGCACTGCCAAAGGGGCATCCTGCTCGGAACCTGGGCGGATGGCAAAGGCACAGAGGCGCTGGCGCCCAGGGTGTGCGACAGGGATGTCGGAAAGGACCTGTCGGGTACTTATGACGCTTTTGTGGTCGGAGCAGATGGGATTGTGCAGACGGGCGAAGAGATTCTGGAAGCGGGTGTCGGGGACGAGTATAGCTTGATTCGGACGATCAATGACAGAAACGTGACGGGTAAGGGCAGCCTGAAGGGCAGCGCCATGGTGGTGAAATGGAGCGAGGGGCCGACAGCCACCTTTGCCGTGGACTGGTGTGGAGGCTTTCTGCTCGGGGTTTGGGATGACGGAGAAGGTTTCAATGTGACAAAAGAACACCTGGTGCGGTAGGCCTGGCGGCCAAAGCGGCGCAGTTGATGGGGTTTCATTCAGCGTTGTAGGCGAGGTGCATTTTACCATTGTTCGTGATGCCACATAATGACCAGCGTTTTCACTGGGTGGATCACTTATATAATTGGCATATGATGCGCATCTGCCGTTTGCGCTGTATGCACTGCATGGGATGGCCCGAGTATGCCACCATTGCAAAATTTAAGAAAAAAGGAAAAAGAAAAAAAAGAGGAAACACTCCGAAACTGGGTTATGAGCACGCTGCTGCAAACCTTAGGAGTGAGCATAAAGGAAGTGGAAAACTTGGGAGACAAGGGCTGGTCACGAAATGCCACCCTGTGTGCTCAACAGATCCGTGTAACCGGTCAGCTCTCCAGACTGCCTGGATTGAAAGACGATTCTGGGAGGTCCTGGACCTCAAGGGGCCAGGCTGTGTGGGCGAATTGGGATGAGGCTAGCTAGCACATCTCTGGTCTGAGAAAGACCATCTGGGCTGTCTGACCTGATGAGGAAAGGCGTACAGTCCAGTCATTCACATGAAAAAACGGGGTCTAATGTGATGTGTAAGGTTATGTTCAGCGGAGGTATTGAAATGCACTTACACACACATGTATAACATGGCAGGTGTGCTGGCTCTGTGAGATTTCAGAAACCACGTGCGGTGTCAGTCCTTGTGCTATGCAGGGCTATTTTAAGTTCTCTCACTAAAAATCCTGCATGCACTAAAAGTCATTGGCCAGGATGGCCATGAAAAGCTCAGCGCACAACTATGGTAAGGGAGTGAGAGTCAGAAGCAGGGTGACTCCCCTCACCCTGTGTGTTGACAATACTGTTTTACACTTCCCCCATGGTTGGCTTATGCAAGTCATACTGATTCGGGGCAAAGGTGTTTAGTTATTGTGAAAAAATGGCAATGGTTTGGCCTAGTGGAAAAACAGAACATGGGAGAGTTTGGTGATTGTTTTGAAGAGACAAATGCACCGGATTGTGCATGTTCCTTTGAAAGGACCAACAACATGTTCGTTGTGCTCTACATGGGGAGGGCTGGCTACTTTTGTCAGACACTTAGAAAGGGTTGTTCTGTTTTAAAGTGGTTATGAGTAACACTAGTGTTAGAAAGAGGTCACTTTCTGTTCTAAATTTTGCGCAGCTGCCAATGTGCTATAAGACGGCCCCATGGATCAAGCCCGTTTCCCTTAATGTCTATGTGACACGGGGGTGGGCTGGCCATGCGCTATGTGGGGGGCGCACGGGTGCAAGGGCGTATTTTTAAGGTTTTGTGAAATCACCTGTCATTATTCTGATTTGGCAGCACCATGGCTCCCAACCCAGTTGAATGTCAGGCGGTACACTGTAGTTTTGGTGTTGCCGTGTATGCTTGACACCTGTGAAAGCGGGGGGGGGGGGGATGGGGGCCCGTTGCAAGCTTAATAAGTCCACGGGGGCATCCTCAAGGATCATCCCGTTTTATCCCCTTGGCACACCGTCGGACGTGGGCGCTGGCGGGGACTTTAGTAGCTCCCTAGTGGCCCGACTTGCGAGAGCGCACTTGCTCTGACAGCGGGAGTGCTCACCGACGCTGGTGCGGGTTGCAGCATGGCACAGAATGCCCCTATATTGAATATTGTTCTGTTTGAGAAATTAGGCTCCCATTCTTGTGGTGCATTCCTTTGCACTGGCCTTGGAGCAAGACCGCCTCTGCCGCTTAAATTTTTTGGTGTGTGGGGGCAACGGGGGGAGACAATGGCACAGGGGGTGTGGAAGCTGCAACTGCAGCGTTCGTATCCATGCCTTTGTGGCTGCAATGTTCCCGCAGGGCCTTTCCTGAGCGATCACCTCTCGCAGCAATGCTGCTGCTGATTCATGGACTTAATAAGTCCCGGGTGGCTACTGTTGTGGGAAAACAACCCACGGAAACGCCATTTGACCGGCCAAGAAATGTCAGACACCTAATGTATATCTGGTTTACAGTGCACACATACCATCTCCCTAGGCCTGTGGACACCACAGCTTGCCAATGCCAGCAGCTGCTGCACATCTTTCACACAGCAAGTGGTGGTGCACAGTGAAAATGTGCTGCTCAACTGACACGCATCGATGCTACGTCCCAGATACAATAACAGTATGTGCAAAATGGCAAAAGCCAAGTGCTGGCAAGCATGCAAACCAGTGCTGGAAGCACATCTCCGTGTATACAAGCACACATAGGCAAGTGTCCCAAGGACGGGGGCCACTCACCAGAATTAACGGAGTAATGTTGGCTTGTTGTGAGTTTCTGTGTGGTAAGGTTCCCTCATGAGCTTCCAGTTTAGGCAACAAAAAATCGGTGAATCCCATCCTCAGAGAAAGTGCCTCAACCTCTGTGCTGTAAATTCTGTATCTTGAGTATCTTTAATTTAAAGCAACAGCCACAAAACACCCCCTCAGTGCTCTCCTGTCAATGAAGATCCACTTCCAGTTCCTTGGGCAGCGCTGAAAATATTCACAAAGCAATTGTTCCAATTTTACAGACATCGCCCAGGCCATCGCAGGTGAATTGCACCACCATGTAATTCGCCAATAGCGGTGGCGAATAATGTGCCGATGCTACTGTACTGCAATGGCCCCGAGGCAATTTTGATAACGATATTGTGACAGTCTTTTGAAACATTACTTGGATGGCGTTCTTTACGCTTCCTTGCTTGCAATGATGACTACATGATGCAACGGTGACTACATGATTTTTCTCTGTTGGCCAGTGCCACAAATAACTCTCCTCGAGCAAGTTGCCATTGACTTCGCGAAGCTGCGATGCTTGTTCGGTGACGACAACATACAGATTAGATTTCCCCATGGCGATTTCGCACACAAGATTCCCACGCAAGCTGCCAGGATTTGTGTGACGATAGCATAGGTTTTCGATGATGTTAGCGTGCATTGAGGATGGGCACACGCCAGCAGGCACAGCGGGGTCGGCCTGCTTACGCGCATATTGTGAGGAGGTCTTTGTACCGCATTGAGAAACCCAACGGCAGCGACCCAAGACAGCAACTTGCACACAAATCACAGCCTTCAGCACTTGGCTCCGCTGCACCGCCACGCATTTGGGCACCAATAGCCCCTTCCATGGCCCCCCCACTGCGCACAAAGGCCACGTTGGGCCACAGGCTCTTCAGGATGCAAGTGTGGGAAACCCAGGCCTGGTGCCGAACGCCAAAGGCATTTCCGGACTCGTACGTCAGGTAAAACGCGCCAAGCAACTAGCTCCTGTCGACTCCGACATCCAGGTACTCAACTTCCCCCCGCGGAGCACCACTTCTGGCATCCCCAGCCGCTCTTTCCGCACCACCAGCACCCCAACGCAACGAGCCACACACCCATCAGAAAACGGGCCCCAGCGAACGCTGCGTTCTGATCCGCCACGAACATGAAACCACAATATCGTGCAATATCGTACAATATCGCACAATATCGTACGGTCATGAGTGCAAGAGGAAACTCGCGCTGGGCGCCGCCCGGCACTCGCCTCTGGGCCCCCAGAGACGCCCCCCGCCAAGAAAAGACCGCCGTCGCCGCCAGGCAGCCGCGGGCCATCGCCCCCATCGCCCCGAGCCCTCCTGCTACGCCAAGCCAGGCCATTTGGTGTCAGGTTTCAACACCAGCAGCTCGCAGTTTCCGTGTATGCCCCCGATAAGGGCCGCGAAGGCGAAAGGGTCTTCGAAAGGGGGCCCATGTCGCCTTTCGTCCAAAAGGCGCTCGAGAAGCATCGGGAAGAGAGCTGTCGGAACAGCGCCAAAGCTGCGTGGGTTTGGGCGGGGCCGAAAGAGGTCTGGTGTGCCCTGCACCTCGGAGCTGGTGTGTCTAACGTTGGTTGGGGCTGCGAGTGTGAGTGCGGTTGCCGTCACACGGCTGACCCGCAGCATCAGGATGAGACCTAAAGTACTGGGGTCCAGCACCGTGGGCCCTGCAGTCCGATCACGAACGAGTCTTCCCATGGCTCGTTTGGTAGCATGCTCCAGTGCTGCATGTCTTTCAAGCATTACAAGCGGCAATTTCACAATGGCGGGTGATGGGCTGTAGCCTGTCGCTTCAGGCCTAAAGCCCAATACAACGGAGCGCCAATACAATGGAGAACCGACACCTAATCCCGGACCCTACCACCAGTTCCCCCTTTCCATGGGTGTGTGCTAGCAGAGCAAACCCTGTGGTACTTTCCTCGCCTTTCCTCAAGTGGCTTACCCACAAGCCGGCGGGGGTTGTTGGCAGCGTGGATCTCAATCCTGTTTCTCGCGCCACGGGCCCTGAGCCCCAAACAAATGGCCCCCAGACCTTGCACCCGAATTTACCAGCCCGAAAATAGGGTGCTCAAAAGCTGAACACAAAAATATAAAGCCCTTACTCCCCAGTTGAGCGATGCTATGTTTCGCCCCTACCCGGGCGCAGTTCGCACACGCATATAGCCCAAATATTTTTTAAACTTTCTTTCGTTGCAACGCAATGCTAGGTAAAATTTCTGCAACGCAGTCATCTGCAATTGCAGAATGAAAAGGACCAGGCTCGCTGACTGGTGGTCGGTGGCAACAGCATCGTGGCGTCGATGGCATTTCAGGCAGTTCCGAAACTGGAACGTACTGCTAACTGCACGAGCACATCGCCAGGCTCGCGGCGTGGGCCGGTACACGGAAGTCCAGCCAACGCCAAAGCTGTCAATATATTCGCAGAGCTTCTGTGGTTTATCTAAGCTCTGCACCAGCTTATGACGTGCTAAGTGTAGGTCAGCACACAGGTTAGTGCGCAGAACAGTGCACAGTCCAGTAAGCAGCTTACTGCGTAAATACGCAGTGCGTATCAGCCATCCGGGCAAAATGGTAAGGAATCACAAAATTGCTGATTGGAATACAAGGCAGAACACAAGATGACCAACATGGAATCTAAGGTCGTGCAGCTCCACAGTCTGAGATACATCGAGGTCACTAGGAGAAAATAACGCGTGTTCAACCGTGTACGAAATCTACCGGTCTGGCTTATTTTCGTGCTCTTAGCGTGCATAACATTGATGACATGCGTTCACGTGTGCACGCAAGAAGTGTTCTTTGATGCTTTTCTGCTAGTGAGTCGAATACGAGCGAAGCGCAATTGGTGTAAGTACAAACAAGCACGCCCTAGGAAACAAAATATGGAAGTTTGGAGTACAAGGCGGAATGCAAAAAGGCCAACATGGACTACAAGATTGCGCAGCTCCGCAGTCTGAGATACACCAAAGTCGAACACGACCCAAGGCAACGCAACTGGTGTCAGGACAAGCAACACTGGTAGAAAACGTCATGTTTGGGATGCCAGCTGCGATGCCCTTTTGACACAAATTGATGCCGTCACAGTGAATGTGGTCACAGTTGTGATGGCATCCATTTTTGTCAAATGGGATCGCAGTTGGCATCGCAAGCAGGCTGTTTTCCACTGGTGCAAGCACGCCAAAGAAAACAAACGCCAACGCTTGGAGTAGAGGACGGAATGCAGAATGACCAACAAGGAGTGCGAGGGTACGAGGTGTTGTGATGCGTCCCTAACAGCTAGAAGCCCACAAGGCACAGTGAGAGAAAAAGTGCGGCGACATCTTGCGTTGTGACAACCGAAAACAGCAAGTGTGCTGAGCGACGTTTGTACTCGACTACTATGCGCAAACCCTCCTCGAATTCCAGCCGGAAGCAAGACAAACGTTTGTTTACTCGAATGCGAAACCCATCTATGCATTCCTGCCAAAACCAGTACAAACTTTTGTTTTAAAAGGTGGGTTTCGCATTCGACTCGAATAAGAGATCCACCCTTGCATTCTGGTCGAAAACAGGACAGAAGTATGTTTTTAAGGTATCGTATTCGACTCGAATTTGAGACCCGCCCTTGCGTTCCTGTGGAAAACAGGATAAAAGTTGGCTTAAAGACGTAGGTATCGTATTCGACTTGAATGCAAAACACACTCTTGCATTCCAATCGAAAAGAGAAAAACGTTCTTCTTAAAGGGTGGGTCTCACATTCGACTCAAATGCCTCCCCCCCGGGGGGGAACGAACGGGCCCCTTCGTCTTAACGCGTAGGTATCATATTCGACTCGAATGTAAAACCTGCTGAGACGTCTGACTTGGAAAGCAAAACCCGTTCTCTTGCAGCAGTCGAAGTCAATTTGCAAAATCGAGATCCAGTCGACCCAACAAGACCCAACCTTGTGTTCCAAACGAACTGCTGAAGCTAAGCTCCGGGCTGGGCTCTTGTCTGTGCCCCGGGCTGGGCCCACCGCTGATCGGGCTGGGCCTGAGGCTGAGCTTGGGGCGGGACATGAGGCTGGCCAAGGGGCTCAGGGGCCTGAGGCTCGTATGTGTTGTCATCTGGTCTTTGTGGGTGGCATTTTGCGAGCGCGTTTCGAATTCATGCCGAATGCAAAACCCGATCCAAAACTGGCCAGAAATTCAGCTCCACACAGCTTCCACGGTATGGACGTGGGAAAACCTTGTCACCAGGTATTTGCGGGCAGTGTTTGGCAAGCGCGTTTTGCATTCGAATCGAATGCAACCCCCCTACCCGAAAATTTGTCCGGAAAACAGCTCCGCCCAAAACCATACTGCGCGGATGAAGGAAAATGTTGTCACCAGGTGTTCGTGGGGCGCCGTTTCGCAAACTCATTTTGTAATAAAGTCGAATGCAACACCCGACCCAGTAAACGGACTGGAAACAAGCTCCGCGCAAAACAGAACTGTGTGGACCTACGAAAATATTGTTACCATGTCTTCTGTGGCATTTCACAAGCTCGTTTTGCATTCCAGTCCATTGCGAAACCCTTGCTGAAAATTGGCCCGAAATACAGCTCCACGCAGTTTCACTGTACGGACGTGTGCAAATGCTGACGCCACATCTTTGCAGGCGGCGTTTTGCAGGAGCGTTTTGCATTGGAGTCGATTGCGAAACCCTTGCTAAAAGCTGGCCAGAAATGTAGCTCCAGGCAACTTCCACTATGTGGGCGTAGGATAATGTTGTCAATAGGTTTTCGCGGTGGCGTTTCAGGCAAACGGGGTGACCTGCCTACCACCATTGAGCACTGGATTAGCACAAACTGATGCGCTTGTGAGAATTGCACTGTAGGCATCTTGCGCACAAGGTGGGCACCTTGTTAGCTATGGGTGATTGTTGGAGATTGTGTCGAACACACATACAACCAAATGGAGTACCTACCTCTGCTGAGAACTGGGTTAGCACAAAGTGGTACATAAGCAAGTTGCCCGCGGCACGTGCCATGAGAGCCAGCACACAATCTGGCCGTAACTCAGTCCACACTGTGCATTAGCTTGTGGCAAGAATGGACCAGACTAGTCTTCGAGCGTGAGCTTTGTGGACGGTGTATGTCTCAGCTCGAAAGTTCTGTGCAGACGCATGCTCAATGGTACAGAATATTATCTCCATGTCACGTCATGCTGTCTGATGCAGAGACTGTCCTACTCTGGCTCTTCGCCTACCTCGCAGCTCGGTCAATCAGCATTACAGAAAGAAATGATCACGAGCTTATAAGCTAAAAGTGACCAGACAAATATTCGTTTGCAGGCCAATCCCCGACCGCGACTGCCAGAAGCGCATTCCCAGACTCTTGCAGACACAGCCTCTGCTCACAGCAAGATGACCTCCAATTCACTAACGACATCAGCCTTGCAACGGATATTCTCAATGCAAATCAAATCCCCCGCTGTCTCGCCCTCCTCATTTCGAGCAGACACATCCGCCCCATGCGCCACAAGCACCTTCACCACTTCCAAGTACCCTTCCCCTGCTGCGATCATGAGCGCCGTAAAATTTCCCGCTGTAGTTCTTGCCTCCGTGTCAGCGCCGCCCTCGGCAAGCACCTCCGCCACATGCGGGCTGTCGCGCCTGGCAGTCAGGAGCAGGGGGGTGTCCCCTCCCCGTCTGCGCGCCTCCAAATTGGCGCCCGCCTTCACCAGCACCTCGGCGACTCCTAGGAGAGCAACCATGGCTGTTGGTTATTGGCGAATGGCGGCTACTTGTGTTTCTTCGATTCCACAGCATTACGTCACATTTCTATGTCCAGGTACGTTCCGCATCCCACCACAAGTTATGTGGGCGCTGGGTCATTTAGCAAGAGAATGCAAGGCGATGCAAAGGCCTCAAAGTCATTCGTAAGCAAAAGAATGCTCAGTCTCAAGGAAGGAAAAGAGAAGCTCGGCACTTCAGGGGGGTCCGAGCAGATCAGCAATCAAACTGAACCGAAGTTGTCTCCATTTTGTTCTAATGAACTGAGGATGGCTACTTGGTTACTTGTGTTCCTAGTGGCTGTCGGTGGCTGGTTGCCGTAACCAGCGTGGTTGTTGTTTACCTATGTGGTTGCTCCAGGAGGTTTCGTGCAGGGGCGTGTCGCGGTCGGCGTCCCTGGGATCCAGCTCAGCATCGGCGTCCACCAGTACCTGCGATGCAGAAGGATTGTATGACCGTTGGAATACGTGACTTCAAGAGAACATCAAACGAGTGTCAATGCTCATATTGCGTTTATCCAAACAAAGGAGTCACAGCCACTCGCAAATCCGGTAATGTCATGCCGCCAAGGTCAGCAATCGTAAGCATGTCATTCAGTACCGTGGGGCTTTGAGCACAAGCAAAAACATGTCCATAGTGAATTGTGCCATCTTTGGTGTGCACAACATTTCAGTTGGTACTTGTTGTTGGAGACGGAGATTGTAGCAACCATGCACACATGGCCGCCGGGCAGTCTCTGCATAGCGTGCCAAATACGGGCTGAATATATTCTTCCACGCACCTGCTGCATAACGGACTTAACGACAATTCAAAATAAATATATCTGCTGCCATTTGCTGCATTCCATATCTGCTGCGGGTGCAAGTCCATCTTTTGGGTACCATGGGGTGATTATGCAATTGGGATGCTTCACCAAAGTGCAGCAGACCACACATTGAATTGTGATAGTGAGGCAGGCAGAAGAATGTGTGTCACAGATGGGCCCATGGAAGTCATACACACATTTTCATGCCATTCACATTATACTATATCTCATATGCCATTTATGTTATATCATATCTGCGCCTTCTTGCGTGGCACTCTTTGAGTGTTGGGTGCAGGACAGAACGCCATCACAATGTCGAACAGACGTCCACAAAAGCTCTTGGGTAAGGAACACTCATGTCCATTGTATGCAAGGGCAGCACAATCAAACTGACTACCCAGCAAGCATCCACGGCTCCGACATTGAGATGCTTCATGCTAGGGGCGAGCATACACTCTCTCAGTCCAGCCAACCACCTGCGACACCCCGATGGCATTTTCCATCGCCGCCCAATGCAGGGGGCTGCTTTCAAGACCACATGGCAGGTCCACATCAGCGCCTGCTGCCACGAGGGCTTTTGCTGCAGCGGTGTTGTTGCTCCTCGTGGTCAGCACCAAAGCTGTACACCCCTCAAACTTGCCAATTGCAGTGCAGCAAGCATTGGGGTCGGCTCCACTGGAGATGAGATCTTCCACCTCAGACTCTGTGGAATCGCTTTCGGGCTTTGCGGCAACAAACATCAGGTCCTGCAGGTGCAGCACAGCACTGAGTAAACAAGATCTGCAGCGCAAAAGTGATCAATGTCTTTAATAGCCTTGCTTTGTTTCGCTTTTATAGTATCTTAGTATATTCAACCCTCATATATCCCTTCCACATCTATATGTTATGGTTAGCCTGTTCTTATGGAGCAACACTGAAAAGCTCAACAGTGGCAACCAACAATGTGGAGCGGCCAAAAAATGTAACAACTGGCCGGTTTCAAGAGATGCGGGGTCCATCAGAGCCTGCACTACTGTTGGATGGCAGCACTGCACACAAAAGCCGTCTGAAAATCGCCCCTGCTGCGGCCAACATGGCAATAACCATAGCATGCATGCCCCATACACTAGGAAAAAAAGGGCCAAATAACACGTGTTCAAACGTGTACAAAGTTTACTTGTTTGTGTTATTTTTGTGTTCTTAGCTTGCAGGACTGTGATGAAATGTGTTTTATGTGTGTTCCCAAACGCGTTATTTGACCCTTTTTTTCCTAGTGATATGTGCGATCTCTTGTCTGCTCATGGCACATGGTGGCCCCAGGTGCATGAGTGGCCGTGGCGGTGCGACGTTGGGGTGCTTGCAGACTGTCCCCAGGATCAGGTACACGCAAAACGTTCAAAGGCCGATCGCACCAGTAGACCGGGCAGTTTTCCGGACGCTTCGCGGACACTGCAATGAGTGTCCGTGACGGTGACCCAAGTGTCCCGGACGCTGACTCCATGTCGGACACTATCGCTGTCACTGTCGGCGACACTCCCCAAGCAAAAGGGAATGCCGCGGATACAGAGACCGTCGCGGTCACTGCCGCGGACACTGACGCAGCCACAAAAGTCACCGTCGCGGTCACCGTCGCGGACACAACCATCATCCCAAATACAATCAGCATCTTGGCCACTGTCGCGGATATTGACGCGGTCACACAGCCAGCGTCGTGGACACCATGGCCGCTGCCCGGACGGCCTCAGGCACATCACCAATTTGTTAGACGAGTATACCAGTCACGAATTTGAATCACAGACCTCATCCATATTGGGATCTCCACAGCCGCCAAAACCACCCCACGGCCCGGGGCCCTCTCCGTCAAGCAAGGAAAAAGCAACGCCGGCAAGTGAGGATATGGAGGTGAAGGACGGGCGTCCGCAGCTCGACACGGACGGGTGGGCTGGGAACTTCGCGCCGCCGAAGTGTGCCGCCGATGAGCACTTGTGCCCATCGTAATGGGCAAGAGACGAGTTTTGTAGGCGTGTTGTGCGGGGGCGGTGGGTTGACGACACGTGGGAGGCGGCACTGACGACGATGGATCGTGGCGAGCGGGTTGGCAATGCGGATCGCGGTGGCGGATTGCGGCGACGGGTCTGTGATAACAAACGGCCTTGTGTTGGTGTGCTCTCGTTCGCGTAGGCCCAGAAGCCGCAGCAAGGTCACCCACAAGCAGGTTGGAGAACGGGAAAAGAGGCATGGCATGCTTCTTTGGCAATGCAAAATGGCTAGCGCGGGGTGTGGTGGTGCCATGATGCTGGGGGTGCTCGAGTGGGGTGGAGGATAGGTGTGGACACAAGGTTTAAGCAAAAGTTGTAGCCGGAAGTTGTAAGCAGAAATTGTCAACGATTGCGATCACCACAAGTCTGGCAGCAGAACGCCGCTGAACGCTGCACTGAGGGAATTCGCCAGCGACGCCAGTATAGCGTCCACAGCACTATCGGCGTCACTGTCCACGGCACCAAGGGCAGTGTCCCGGGCACTATCCGCGACACCAAACCATGTCCATGACACTGACCGCGACGCCAAGGGCAGTGTCCACAACACTATCCGCGGCGCTAAACACTGTCCGCGACACTGACCGCGACGCCAACCAGAACGTGTCCGTCACTGTCCCTGTCACTGCCCTCGATGCTCCCACGACCCGCAATGTGAAGCGTCCGCGACACTATCGCGGATGGCGTAAAAAGTGTCGTGGTCAGTCTCCGCTGGGGACACTCATTTTGATTGTCCGCGACACTCATTGGAGTGTCCGCAACGCGTCCGGAAAACACCCCTTTACACTAGTGTCGCTTGTGCGAGCTTCTTCCTTGCGCCGCAAAGAGCACGTACAGTTGGAGTCCGTGGACTGGTCAGCTCCTGGAGCTTGACTAGCGTGTCGTTTTGCCCAGCCTGCACTGGCTGGACATGATATGCAGCCCAAAAGAAATAAATAACGCTTTGCCAAAAAAGGGGCAACATCACAACACTGAAATTTTGAAATGCACGAGGGTGGAATATACTGCAATGGCTTCCTTTTAATTTTGAAATTGCATCAAATTTTGCATTTCAATCATAATTATGTACTTCAAGAAGTATATTGCTATTTTGTAATAACATGCCCACAAAGAGCGCACTTGCCATACTCCATTGCGTGGAAAATCGCCAGTGCACAAGAAACTCGCAATACTGAGTAGCCCAAGCAAACTTAGGATGCAAGAGCCAATGGGGGCAAATTATCTGACTGAGCTGAACTCGTTAACATGACGTGACGAATCTCAGATACGTGTTGGAACGTGTTGCGCCTACTCAAGACGTGTAGCCACTATATTATCAGCACCCCAGTTGTATTGAATCCTTACAGAAAATAGCTAATGGCTGTGCAACACGCCAACAAAACGAAACACCGCACACAAACATGGACTTTGCGGACAGAATGATCTTTCATGGCTCAGCAAGGACGCCTTTGCAGCGAGGATTACAAATCTGCCAATGCTTTTGTTCCCAAAAGCGCGCCCTATGCATTTCCAACACCCTTTCAACCACTTTTTGATTCGATTTTATATGTATAACGCTTTCAACCACTTTTTGACTCGATTTTATATGTATAACGCCTTCAACCACTTTTTGACTCGATTTTATATGTATAACGCCTTGAACCTCTTTTTGACTCGATTTCATATGTATAACGCCTCCAACATGTCTTGTTTGGCCTTAACATGATGTTTAGTGGAGGGACCATATGAGGAGACGAGCAAAATGCAATCATGAATGAAACGACCGCTGAGCGGATTGGCCAAGCGCCATTGTAGCACGTTGTCTTGAGGGGGACGGTTGGGGAAGTCGCAATGACGATTTTGTTATGCTTAGCTTGAATTTGACGTTAAGCTCAGACCCACCCATCACCCCACCCCATCTCCTTAGCGTCAATTCTTATGTCGATGCAAGGATGGCTCAGCAACATTATGTGACAGTGATATGCATCTTTTTGGTGGTTTTGAGGACAAGAAATGTCAAAGTTGTACTCATTTCAGTGGTTTGAGAAATGGAATTTTAAATGGCATTATAGGCCAGGCGAGGAGCTTTAATTGTTGTAGATTGATTCACTTTAGGGCATTTTCTGAGCGTCGAACGCTTGAAGGTGGTTTAAGAACAAGTCATGAGTTGTTTCCAGCTGATCCGCTGCGTTTTTGGGTATCTTTTCTCCTTATGTGGACTTTGTTGCAATTACATAATCTCGGCGTCACAAGCTGAAAATCCCCCCCCTCCCCCCTGCGTCAATTTGACTCTAAGCGGTAACAAAATCGGCACAGTGTCTTCCCTTGGGTGTCCCTGGGGCATCTCAACTTACCAGAACTGAAGACTGTGAATCAAAAATCTGCAATCTCTGTAGTGAACTGGAGTGCATTTTAACATCAGACCTCAACATCAACTACCAAATCTTAGCATAAGGTAGATTTCATCTTGCATGAGAATATCTTGCCACCTTTCTTTTGCACCTGTGGAGGTAACTGTGCAATTAAAAAGCAGTTTCATCGCAACCAGGATCACACTTTACGGTCTAAAGCCCTACATGTAGTGCAGCCTGGGGAGCTTATGCAACTGCACGATTACTAAAAGTCCCTTACCCTAGATACGGAAAAGTACATGAGTGACCGCACATCCTGGATACATATATCCAGAATGTGCCATGTCCTGGACATGAACTCTCAATAGTTCATATCATGGACGTCAGGCCTCCCCATCCATAATATGGTGAGGATATGGACAAGACTAGGACAATATCCTTGTCCATGGGCGCTCATTCCTGAGCTATGCACATGCCCTAGATATGTACATGCAGGCTACACCACATTCTAAAAAAAATGCATGCCGGTCTATCAGTTCCAGCAACCCGAAAACGCACATTGGGCAACTGTGCAACTCTCCTGCACACCAGACTCTGGAGATCACCACATGCAAGGCGAATGACGCAGTCCAGGACAAGACACAATACTTCACTGGGCTCATATCTGGACACTGACGCCAATTATGTGGCATGATAGGAGGAAGATCGAAGAGCCAACATGATGAAAATGTAACTTAATTTGCATGTGCACAACAACCACCCTCTCTTCCATCTGCCTTCTGGCACGCACAGAAAAATATACTGTATACCAAAAAATTTTCGCAGAGAAAAATATTTTCACAGACTGGCTCGACTGCGAAACGCGCAAATTTTTTTCTCCCACGAACATTTTTTTGTATACAGTACAACAGGAAGCAAATAGCATTCTCAACTTTCGCTGTTTCATTGCCTGACAATGTTTAAAACCAAGTTGCAATTACCTCGTTAAGCTCTTGTACGTCTTCAGATGGGGATGTCCCAGCCTACCAGCCAACAAAACTCTTTCACATTGAGGACTTCAGATTTGAAAAGAAACAACATTTCATTTCAAAGTAGTACTTCAGAGCACTTGGAAATGGGAGCTTTGAATCAATTTTGAATTTTTGAATCAAAGGGCTGCATTGCTTCTATTGCAATTCTTTCTTGGTGCCCCAGTTGGGCAATTAATAGATGCCCTATTCCTAGGATGTGCCAATGTGCACCAGTCCTTTAGGCCATGGCCGTGTTATGGTGATTGTGAGGCCGAAAGAACAATTATTAGGTGATTGTGTGGCATATGGAGATGCATGGTGAAATGTGGTACTGTGAATATGGTGATGGTGTTATGATGACATGTACATGGAGAAATTGGAGGGGAATGGAATTAATATGTTCTCAGGTACAATTACTTACCTGATACACTCATCTTGTAATGCATCTGTTTATGGTTTTACTTTCCATGCCTGGGAGAGACCGAGTGCGGACCAAGCACAAACGATCAATGCAATAGTTGAAAATGTTGCATTGGTGAAAGCAATTCCACTCCTATTCACCTTCCAAACAGGAAGGGGGAAGAAGTATATGAGGGTAAATCTTCTTATGCTCGAATTCCAACGTTGAGACCATGAATGAACTCAAAGCAAGAGTGTGAATATTGTTCAACACAACCTTAGTGAATGCTACTTCCTCTTGCCCCAAATTAAATTGCAATTGGCTGAACCATGGGCATGGAAAACCTATCAAATCATCTCAGATTTTACAAAAATTTGTCACAATGTGCCAATTTGAGCTAGTTTGTGCTCCTAAACTTTTGAGTCAATTTGCTAAGTACTCAATGTCACCTTAAACATACGTCGCTCTGCCAAGTGTTTTAGGGTGGCTCCATAACAATTCGTTTTCGGGGTATAGACCATACCACCTTGTGGTGCCCCCACCACACCAAGTGGTGCAACTTAGAGAAACGCTTCAGACTGCAGGTTGGAGCGGAGTTACAAAAGTGGAGAGCAGGCCAATAGCTCATCCCAAAAGACGTAAACAGGGGTTTGCTTGTCTCCTGCTGCCACCGCCATTCCCTGAGTTGTGTGCCCGTTGTGTGGCATTATCTTTTCAACTCTACTTGCAAATTTCTCCTGCCATATCCTGAGATGTCTGTAGTTTCCTTGCAATGTGCAGGACAAGTTTACCCCTTGAAATTATTGATTGCATTCCAGAGGAGCTTAACAATTATCTCAACTGTTCAACACAAAATCTCAAATCTATGGGTGTAATCTTCGGTCACCCATTTCTATATGCGCTGGGAGCACCCCCTCTGCCTCTATTTCTTTACTCTGATCTGCACTCTAAAGTGCATCCCCGACTCACGTTGCTTTGTGCAGTGGGGACCACCGCAAGGTGGCATGGTCCAGACTTGAAAAAGGGCAGTTTTGATGCCACTTTGAAAAACTGGGGTATTGTTGGAGAAGTGGAGTTTGCTCAACATGGCACTGAGGATTGATTACGCAGCTGATTGACTTAATACTTCGGGAATACAAACTAAGCCTAGATTGAAACATTGTGACCAATTTTGGTGGAATTCTGATGCGTTTTAGTGTTTTCTCTAGGGTCGCAGATTATAACTGCAATTTCTTATGGGATAGAAGAATTACCTCATTGCTTGTTATGTGAGAGTGATGGCGATGATGATGACGATGACAACCATGATGACGATGAGGAGGAAGACTTATACTGGTGAGATATCAGTTTCATGACAACCTAGTGCGCGAGATCGACTGTGAGCCATATATTATTCTGGCATTTGGGGTGCCCAAGAAAAATGCTTCAACTCAACTTGTGCTGGACTGTTGGATATTCAATTCTTATGTCCAGCATCAGCCACTTCTGTCAGTCCATTGCAAGTTCTTGTTGGCAACTTTGCAATCATTCCATAGTGGTTCAGTGCTAGATGTGTCCAATGCTTATTTGCAAGTGCAACTTGTGCCCTGTATGTGGCAGGCAATGGGATTGGCAGTGATAGGGCAGTTTTTTAAGTATACACATCCGCCATTTGGATAATCAAATAGTTTGCATAAGTTTCTGTGAGTGTAGTGGCCTAGTGTTTGGCAGGTATCCCGGTGCAAGCACTCCCAATCATTCTTTATATGGATGATGTTCTCTTACTTTCTCAGTCCAAATCCCAACATTATGCAACTTGGAGATTTTATTAGAGGAGTTAGGGAAGGATGGGTGGTGTGTGAACTAAGACAAATGCGAGTTTTGTTGGGACCATTTGGAGTACCTCGGGGTGAAATTTACTTCGTCTGACCAAAAGCCCACAGACTCATTCTTAACTCAATTTGAGCAGGCTCCTATGCGTATACCTCAGTCAGACTAGATCTAGATCCATGGTTGACTAAGCCATTCTGCTGACTTTATTTGGTAGCTTCGTGGGAGTTTCAAGTTCATCCTTCACTGGAATGGTGGTAATATTTCTTTGTCTGTTGCATCATCATTTTGTTCGGTGTACTATTAGGAAGTTCCTTCCGCCTCCTACGGGACTTTTGCTATGAGTGTCAATGCAAGCAAGATTGGCAGGGGGATTGTGTTATGCATTGGCCAGTGATTGTATGTTATGCACATGGTTTGTTGTCGATAGGTTTTCAGCACCATGTCAACAACGTGATGGAGTTAGAGGCACTCTACAAGGCTCTCAGGACATCTTGGGTATGGATTATTCGGGCACTCGTTCATGTTATGATGGATAATTGCGGCGTTGTCAGTTTCACAAGCTCAACGAACTCAAGTGATTTTCTCAAGTGGTGACTATATCACCTTTCTTGGTATTCTCCTCGGATTTCATTCTGTTCAGGATGGTTTAATTACTTGGCAGATTTTCTGTTCAGATCAAGGGCTTGGGTTTTTAAACCATCTTATGTTCGTGTAGTCAGATGTTCTATGCTCATTTCTCAAGCACAATGGAAGAGAGCCCGAGTATGGCATTTTGGAATGAGGACATATCTTTATTTTTGCCAAATGTGTCTGCATCCGACATGGCAGTGCATGATGAACAGGGTGCAATCATGCAAAGAGTGTATGTTCTTTCATTACCTGCAACCTATTCAACAATTGGCACGTGTCCAAAAGGCTTGGCTAAATCATTGGCTTGGACTCCATGGGGCCTTTCTTGAGAGGAAGGTGGGGAAGAAGCAATTTGTTCTTGTCATAGTGGACATGTTGACCAGATGGGTGGGCGCATGGGCAATGATACGTGTAGGAGGGGCTGATATTGTGAAGGGTCTAAAGAGACGGGTGCAAATACAAGGGGCGCCTTCAATCTTGTATTTTGATGTATGCAAGGCAACACAATCCAAGGAGTTCGAGAAGTGGTGCATGCAAGAGGGAGCGATGCAAGAGCACTAGCCTTCCCATCACCATGGTTCTATTGAATTTGTGGGTTCAAATCGGAAATTGTTGAACCGTTTGAGGAGCACGTGAGTATAGCTACCCAAAATATTTTGCTAGTACAGTTGAGCTGACAATGGAGGTCTACAATAACACACCCCTCTCCTTGCCGGAGGAGAGTAAAGCGACTTCTAATTATTTGGTGTTTGGATCCCCAAACTAGCTGTGGAATAGTTCACAGACCATGTAGAGATAGCTACATGAGTGTGCATGCCAGCAGTGTGCTGAGGCAAACCATGCGACGAGAGCATGGTGTATCAAGCACACATTCAAGGCAGGGTCCAAGTGCAGTTGTGCAATGGTCGAGACTTTGAAGAACAAGCTCGAGCCATGGTAGAAGGGTCCAGAGCAGTTGATTCACCTCGTAGTAAATACGGTTTTAGAAGTGCAGGGATTGGAAGTGAAACTCTGAGTTCGGCATGCAAACATGATTGGGCCATACAGGGATGCAGTCTAAAGGGACAAAGTTATTCAACAAGTGATTGTTTAGCACAGGGAAGTGCGTGATGGCAAGGAATATATGGCATTGCAAAGGATGTTTGCGCACGCGGCGCGCACAAAGGGTTGAAGCATGGCCCGGCAGTGCTTTGCCAACGTCATCCGGTCCCGTTTCGCATTTGTTCACCTCTCACGGTTTTGTTGTTGTGGCGCAGGGACTCCGTCACCCTGAGGATGCGCGTCCCCTCTTGGGGGGACGTTTGGAGATGCGCGGGCCGGTGGGACGAGTGCGGGCGGACCATCCACCCGCCCTGCCCCTGGTTCAAGGCCGCCGCCATGCCTGCCGAGCTTGTGTTTGGCTGCAAGGGCTGCTGGCTCAACAAGGGCCAGCGCTGCTGGGTGATGGCGGGCCCCCCTCCCACCGGCCCGGAGCCCCGCGGCCCCGTGGCCGCCGCTTGCACCGCCACCGCAATGGTGGGCTTGGCGGTGGGTGGGTCCGCCCCTGCCTTGGGTCGTGGGCCGCTGGTGCCGCCGGGGCTGGCGGCCCCCGCGGAGGTTGTCCGTTCCCCTTGCGGCCGTGCTCAGTTCCCGAGGGCGGGTGGCGTGGCGGTGGCAGGCGGGGCGGCGGATACGAGGGTGGGCCGGGCGGCGGGCAGCGACGCTCGGTTGACGAGGACGTCGGCGGAGTCATCGGTGGGGGGATTGTCCGTGGGGGAGCGGGTGCGCACCCGGGGATGGGTGGAGGAGGCGCCGGGGCAGGCGGCGCCACCGGGGGAGGCCCCCAAACATTCCCTGGCCCCCGTGCAGGGGCCTTGTTCACCGACGGGCGGTGCGGGCTTCCCGGGGGCAGGGGGCGGTGCAGTGGCCCGCGTGGCGGTGGAGCGGGGCGGTCAGCTGGCTGGTGGGGTGGTCCAGCGGGGGGAGGGCTTGGCGCCCGTGGGCAGCCCCGGTCTCCTGGACACCTTCATGGAGGCGTTCCGGAGGGCGCCCGTCGCCCCTCCCTCCTGGGGGGGTGGAGATGCAGTGGGATGCCCCCGACCAGCCTTGGCCCGCGCACGCACCATGCCGGCCGCCAGCCCGCCTCGTGGAGGGAGAACGGGCCCCGGGTTGTGCGTTCTGGGGGGGGGGGAGGGAGCAGGATGGTGGGGGGATTGGGGCGAGGGGGAAGGCACCGGGGGGTGGCACCGGTGGGTGGGTTGGTCTGTAAGGTGTGAGCACGTGGGGTGGTGCGGTGGATGGTAGAGGTGGCGGGGGTGACGTTGAGGAGTGGGGTCGTTGGGGGTGGGGTGGGGTGGGGGTGGGGGAAGCGGCACCCGTATTGTATTTTTTTTGTAACAATGTTGTTGAGCTGGTCATGTAAAGCGCAAGGGGTGGTTTTGTGAGCGCTCTCATAAATGGCGATGTTGCGCACAAAATTCATTGTTTTCCGACGGCCATTGTTGAGCACAACCGTTTTGCCCATAAAAGCACATAATCACGATGTTGCGCACAAGTGCACCATTTCGGACCTTACCGACATTTTGCACGAAAGGGTGTTGCAAGTATTTGCAAGGAGAATGGTGTCAAAGATGTTGTGATAAGGCACAGTGATAAAGAACGGTGAATATGGAAATCGTGATTACTAACGGGGGACATTCTCGCAGATGCTATTTGGTTGATGTGTTTGCCTTGTAACACATCTGGTTACGGCCCCGCTTCCCATGCCTGTGAGCAACTGAGTGCAGACCGAGCATGAACACTCAGCCTGACAACAAATATAGATACTACAAATTACCTTATAAACCTGGCTGCTGCAGCCATAAATGCACATGGCGATAATTAATCTACATTTTCATTACTAAAACAACCTGGTTCGCTCATTTTGAAGATGTGGATATTGACCAAACTATTCACAAGGAGCTTCATCATCCATAATACATAAGTTTTCAGGATCAATGGATCCAATGGTTCTGGGCCATTTAGGCAATCGATTAGGAATTATTTAGTGATGACGGTAACCCGAAGGTTGAAGCTTCCTTTTACAGTACAAGCCAGCGGTAAGATGCTCCAACACCATCATCCATTGGTGAGCTGAATGCAATTTGTTGAGTTGTTGGACCGTAATTGACCATCAGCTTGGGGAATGGCCATCCAATCCCAAATAACTCCAATAAAGTCTCCTTTGCTATTGTCTGAGAGCTACCATGTATGATATGGCCATGCTCATTGCAAAGCAACAATTGTTCTGTCCATCATGTGGATTCAACACACAGAAAGTTGGTGTTTTGTTGATATTTCTGATTTTGAAATTTCAATTGCACATTAGCTAAAATGGCATTTGCGCACAACCACAGCAAAAGAGACTATGAGTGCTACCACAAGAGCCATATTCAACTACACTAAGGATGCAAAGCAAGCATTCCATAAAGAAAATTATGCACTCGGTGGCAGCAAGAAGGTTGCATGATGACTAGAAACTAGGATGGTTTTGACAGCCTTTGTGGGGATGTAGTACTTTATAAAGACAACAATTGAACAAGAATGAGCAAACATTGCAATACCAACAACAGCATTTATTGCTGCAAAGTTAAATAAACTAAGTTTATTGCTCTTGAAAATGTAGATATTATGGAACATCTGGTGGTAATCAACACATTTCCAGCTGTTTCAAGAGGGTGTGGCCACACGTTGCGTGCCTTTATTATTTCTTGCCTTGATCACAAACTGGGTTGGATTTTACAAATTCCTATGGCATCTGCATGTATATCTGATGGGCTTTTCTATGTGACTATTATACCTTCTCCTTACCACAAGAAGGTATTGCTTCCCATGATATGCACTTCACAATGTCATTGACCATGAATTGGCACACCAACTCTGTCCCCACACGATGCATCTACCCTTCCTTACTGAATTATTTGGAGTGGCAATATTGTCATTTCAGCAATAATAACATAATCCCTCAATACCATCAAACCAACCCTTGTAGTTTGCTCATGCGACCTTTCACTACCACCGAGACCAAAATTTATCACGAAATGTTTGCTTTGCATCCCCAGCAATGTCATATATGACTCTTGCAGCATGATCCACCGCTCTTTTGCTGCACCATGAAATTAGCCACTTCTCAATAATGTGCACCTGACATTTCAACACCAAAAATACCAGCCTTGAACCAAACTTCTCCATGTGCTAAGGTATCCAACCTGTGCAAACAAGCTCCTTTGCTCCCAACAAACAGCATCACACGCAGTATGTTCTATTCATTGGCAACAATTCAATCACTGGGGATAAGCTTGTTGGAGCCACTACACTCGTTATTGCAGTGGGAGCCCATTTGCTGCGGATGTGTATTGGTGTGAGCTAAGTCAACCATGGGCTGCAGTTGGACGGTTTGATAGCAATTGAGAGCAATTCATACAAGGGGAACATTGAGAGCTAGTGCTGTAGGAGCACCCTGATGGCCAGGGAATATCTGCATGCATCCCTTCTCTGGACACCTGCTGTTGGGACAGGACAAAAAGCCATGGCCTGAAGCCAGAGTTGCCAACTCACAGAATTGGCCAAAGCACTTCCAATGCCTTTTAGATGATGTCTTGGTACCACAATATGCATATGCTTTCGGCCACAAAATTTGAGAGCAGCAAAAGTATGAAAAGGGCATCAGCCCTTTAACATTAGGATGGTAAATGAAATTTAATTTCACTTATCATATATTCCATATTCCAGTTGGTCAACATGGCTCCAAAATAGGCCAAGTCGAGGTCACCTTGTTGTGCTGACTTGTGAATCGTCATGAAGCTCAGATATGAGAAATACCCACAAGCTTTTATCTGTAGGTTAGAGCAGAGGCGCAGAGGCATATGGCACTGTGCTGGATGTCCAAAATGATGAAATCAATGGTCTTCTCTGTAAATTTAAGATTTCACGATCAAGTAGGTCAGCACTGTTGACTCAGTACATATATCTTCGACTGCTTCACAATCCAACAACAATGGACCAGCTACAGTGATGGCGAAGAGATACACGAGCTGCAAAATAGGGATGCAAAATACTATGGGCATTATTGGTGATGGAAGTGGTTGGGACCATGCTGCATTTTGTTGAAATATCAACCAATCCATGTGACCATGAATCAATGGGCTGCTATGGTATTGGATCAGTGGGCAAGATCATTGGTCACATCTTTGTGATATGCTGGCAACTTGCCTTAGGCCTCTCCATCTCTGTCTAGAACGACAGGAGGGAAGTTTGTGGGTAGTTCATGGGGTCTCTGCTTTGTGGAGGAGGCACACGAATTGCCACATGGTCAGGGGTCCCAAACACCATTTTCAGAGCTGCTTCAGATTTGCCAGAACAATGTCATCTGGTTTGAGAAGTTTCTGCTCTGTCACTGCTCTTTTGGATTCATCCAAAACTTGGATGGCATGTACTTCCCATAATTTTCAGTACTTGGTCAAAGTTTAGGTCTGCTGGAGGTGCTTCAACCATTTTCCTGGGCCACAAATCCCCATAGCTATAACTTTGTTTGGGATGGGGAATATAACATTACAATGCACTCATTGTCTTTAAATTTGTGTTTCTTGCACTGGGATGGACATGAAGATCTGGAGTCCAGATGCCAAGACACCCACACATGGGCTTGCCCACACATGTACTGGCACACCAGCTGTCCTGGTGGAACCATGCAGTTTCGTGAGTGCTTTGCTCCCTTTCAGTACATGATTCTTCTTGGCAGGCATGCACATGCATCTGCCTCAGGCTAGACAAGGCATGCGGAATACAAATTAAAACACAAACCACCAGAAATCTGAGAGTGTTTTATGTCAGGACAGCCTTTGAACACACATTCTGGTTTGAGCATGCTAGCCACAGCATCAGCTGCACAGCCTTGAAGCAGCGTGATAAGTACCAAGCTTCCGTTTCATATTGCGCGGCAAAAATGCAGAAGCCATACTGTAACCAATGCTTGGAATTCTGGCACCAAAACTTGTGGATTGATACTTGACTCTTGTTCAAAAATGTTGGCATGCTTGATGTGGTTGTCATAATGTGGTGCCATTTGAACATCTGCAGTGGGACAGTGGGAACACTGTCGGCCATCCAATACTTTGTGCAGGATTGTGGGATGCCTGACATTGGTCACAATGTATGCAGAGCTTATCATGACTGGAATTGCTGCTATCATCCCCTATTGTCACCGCTGGTGGGAACACAGGGCAATTTGGTTGCATCAGAAATGAAAACATATTCAAAATTGCCCATTGTTGGGCAAAACAAGGATTGCATGGTATCCAGAATGCACAACATCATTGTGAACAGAAAATTTCTGGAAACATGAAGCAACACAAAAGAGGACATACATGACCAGGATATAATCTTGCTCAGTTCATGTTCAGTATTGGTCGGTACCAGAAAATTGCAGTTCAAATAAATGCTGCAGCTGCATATGCTTATTGTTCACCCTTTCAGGAGCTGGAGGTATGGGTGCCGGCGTGGGTGGGGCCATTTCCTCAGTGGGTGGCAATGCCTGCATATACACACCACAAACACTGAAGATGTTCTGCAGCCATTGTCACACTGTGCAGCCAAGAAAGTGTTGCGTGATGTATTGGTGATGTGGCCATAGTAGCATGGCTCCTCATCCACTTAAATTATTCATTGCTATGCATGTGCTGACTTGCAAATTGAATTACGCACATTTTCATACATTGAAACATGCATGTATGTGCATACCACTCTTTTAACATTTGCTTTACGGCAGATTGCGTTTTGGTGTCCAATTGTACGTTGCTTGTGATGCTGCAAACCATCAGCTCACTGGGGGAGTCACATATGGTCCTGCCTGTAAGGGGCCTATGTGACTGACACATAAAACATTGCTTGAGCCATCCATGCATTTCAATTGGAAACACACATGCGGAATGGTCTTGACCTAAATTCTGACCACAGTTCTTCAAACAGCTTGGTTGCGAGCCTTGTGAATAGAGATATCTTGAGGGTAGTTTTGATTTCGCATCTGAAAAGGCATTTAACGTGTTTTATTATCAAGGAACTGTTTTGGATTTATCCACTAGGACAAAAGGCCCAAATAACACATGTTCAAACGTGCAACAAACATATGGGTTTGGGCTATTTCTGTGTTTTTAGCATGTAGAATACTCATGAAATGCATATATATGTGTGTTTGCAAAAAGTTTTATTTGGTCCTTTTCCCTAGTGTCTGGAGAGATTCCTAATTCAATCTGCAAAGGATGCAGGCACTTTGCTGTTCACTCACAGCATGTTGCAGCCTGGATATTGCCATGTGGGGTATAGGATAAAGCAATACTAGACATTGATGGCAGAAGGCATTGTGTCCGAATCCAGGGCTGAATATCCGCCACAGAGTCTCCCACAGAGTCAAACAGATGTGGCTCTTGTGGCACTAGTACTGTGTGCTTTTCTCTTGGCAAGCCTGTCTAAGCATTGAGGTGAATGAAACATGCTTTGCTCGTCTTAGTTCATGTGTTGTAGGGTGCAAACACCCAGCACCATTAGAAAGCAAGCTGTTTGTGATGCCCACAGCACTGCCATTTGACACAACCTGATGCAATCACAGCCACTTTTATGCCATCTCAATATTTGTGATGGAACCTTTTGTGTCAAAAGGACATTATAGTTGGCATCGCAAACATGCCATTTTCTACCAGTGCTGTTCTTCCAAACCTTCTGTTGTCCCCACCCACCTTCTGGCATGATGGTCGACCACCATGCTGCCACATTGCAGCGTAGGTGGGTGTGGCAGTGTGCACAGGCAACAAAAGAAAGAGAAGGTATGAGCAATGCAACGTTTTTCAGTGTGTCTGGTACATTGTAATATTTTGCAGCAATCCTTTTTGTTGTTTTGTGGCAACAGCGACTGTTTTGGTCACAAGCCGTGTCCATCATTGTGCATGTACAATCTCAGGTGATTTAATCCATGTGCAGAACTGCTGCATGTCAAGGATAAAACTGCCATGCAAACAATTGTGCAACCCTCATAGCACATTCATGATATTGCCTGATGCTTACCGGCATTGGTGGTGGACCTGATACCAGTGGAGGGTCATCAGGCAGTGGTGATGGCACCTGGAATACCAAATTGATATATATTCTTGATGCACAGCATTGAAATTAGACCGGGCCCCCCAATTCATGGGCCCTTCACAATCATGAATAATACCATCGTAGTATGTGCCTATTTGTGCGTTCTTGGCCAGATGTTGACTCAGTAGATTATCTACACCGTGTTCAAATGGCTTGAGCTGGGTGAATGGGAACAGCCATCATTAATGGCCAGAGTGTCAAAGCCAATTCAACTTGCTGCCTCCTCCTGGGTGTCGTATGCCTTGTTGATGATGCAATGGAGAGGCATTCAGCGGGGCTAGTTAGGGCCAATGCCACAAAAGATAAACAACCCATCAAATGCAATGCACATCAATCCAAATGCAACGCACATTTGCTGCACGAAGTGAATAAAATAAATGTTATTGTGTGGCATTGGTGCTGCAGTGCATTGGCAGTCAATTTGCACAAATCCTATTCAGTCGCTAGGACATGCTGCCTGATACTTTGCCTCACATCTGGTCGCATAGAAGTAGGGTCTTCAGGGGGTGATGCCTGCATTCACAAATACATCATATGCATCACATGCAAAACAGGGCATCGAAAGGCTGTGGAGAAAATACCAGCAATTTCATCAAGAATTAGTTGCCTAACTTGAGCAAAGCTTCTGCCTGCATTTTCTGTGTCCCAACATTCCTTTGCTTGGCTGGAGCCTCTGGCAATGTGTATGTGGACTTTTTGCAAGACATGGCTATTGACCAATTATCTTGACTGTGTGAAGAAGATAGGTAAAGGATGTGCTTACACAAGTGAGCTGCAGCAAGTCAGCAACTGGAAATTTGTCCTTTGTTGCGATGTCTGCAAGTGGTAAAACTTTTTGCACTCTGTCAGATACATCAAAATGGAAATCAAGCAACACAGCCATCAGGAGTCTAAGCATCAGCCATTCCAGATTGTTATATACCACTTGGGACAGGGGCATTCGATAAATGGTACAAACTCGGGTCTTAAGGTTCGTGTGTTGCCGCTTAAGCTATGGTTCAGGGCGTTCGCTTAGCGCCATTTCGCTACCCTTTTACCTTCTCCCCCCCTCCTAATTTATTTCGCTCAGGTTGTACACGTGTCATACCTCGGCCTATTTGTATAAACCTATAAGTACATACATTCCCCCCCCCGTCCTCCCCCCCCCCTCCCCCCTGTCTTATCATTGGCGCTTATGTTAATTCTGCTCCCTCCCTCGTTACCATCGTGGTCGCTCCCCCCCCCCTTGTGATGTTGCCCCCACACACTTGAAGCAAGACGCCTGGCCTTTCTTAAATGGGGGCGTGTTCCAGTCCAACTTTTGTCACCTCACTCCCCTAACACCGGAACTACACTAGGGGCTGGCCCGGGCCCACCAGCGACAGCCACCTAGCACCCAAACACTCACCCAGGGGTGGGCCGCCAACCCGCCGTCCCTGGCCCATCGGCCTGTCAGCGTGGACGCGGCCCCCGTCCCCAGGGAGGGGACATCCTCCCACACGCTCCCAGCTACAACAGTCACAACCTCCCTCACTCACTCACACGCTCGCTCCCTCCAAGCGCTACTCCTCTCATTACCGCCATACTTGCTTCATGCGGGGGGTTGGCGCGGGGGCAGTTGCACGTTACGTGTCCATATTGTTGCATCTGGTACACCACTTTTTTTTGTTGTCTACATACGGCCACCCCTTTGTTGCACGCTCGTGCTGCTCTCAACCGCCGCTCGTTGCCTCCGCTCACCCTGCCACCCTCCCCCCTGCCGGCGTCGCCCTCTTCCGCCGCTGGGCGCGGGTGATCGCAGCCAGCCCCATGCCCTGGGTAGGTGCTGGCGATCTGCCCCCTCCGCACGCGCCTGCATCGCCTCCTGCCAGGCATTTACTGGCATCCTCGTTCTCCTGCATAGGGCCTTCCTCTTCGCCTGGCTACGGGCTCCACACCGCCGCCCACCATGCCGCATAGCTTGCGGCGGCAGCCATCCCGAGCCAGCTTCTTCTGCCGGGCTTCCTCCTGCAATGTCCGCATGGATGCGAGGCGGAAGCCATTCCAGGTATCCAGTAGGCTGTCACCTCCTTCAGCGCCAGATCGGTAGCCCCGTTGTCTGAGTCAAACCCTCCTGCCGTGTTGCCTGCTCCTTCTCGTGCTTCCGTGCCCTGTCTTCTGCTCTCTCCTGCTCTCCACAGATTGGATCTCTCTATATTCTGTGTGCGCTGACCCGGCTCCGGTGTTGGGCACACTCGCGGTCCTTCACTTCCTCTGCGTTAGCATTGGTCTTTGAGTGTCTTTCGGCCAGTCCACGGCGCATGCTCGGCATCCTGCAGCCCACCTACCTGCTCGGCTGGATGGGGGTATCCCCAATTCCACCGCCTCCTTTTCCCAGTCTCCTCCATTACAGCCTTGCACAGACCCTTAGCTTCGCGTCCAGCACCAGCGTCCTGTAGACATCCACCGCTCCGCTTCTCCATCGCCCATGTGCCATCAGCCACACCAAGAGGACTCCCCTTTCCTCTGCCCATGAAGCGCCGCCCACTCGTAGGCTGTGGGAGGACACGGGGAGTGATTCTAGGCCCAGCCCGGGCATGGCCTCCCCCAATCGCCGATGCAGGATGTGCAGCTTGCGCGTAAGGAACGTGTTGGATGTGTACAATCCTGTCCAACTGCTTGCCTTGCACCACTGGAATGCGACTTCTGCTAGATCTTGGTGCCGCAACAATCCTAGGAACCGCTGCACTACCTATGCAATGTTGATCCCCGACCCCGTTCAACCGGCCAGCACCACTTCCGCTCCTTTCCCCTAGGTGTCCATCTTGCTCCACCTTATTCTCAGTACCATGTGGCTCCCTGCATCTATCTCTCCCAATCGGATATCCTCCACCCGCAGCCAATGGACCTCCGATTTTCGGAGCATCCCAAAGAGCCCCAGCACCAGCATAGCTGCGTCCCGGGCACCTTTTAGGAAGGTTGCCGGGTCCTCTTCTATGTTGTTGTCGACCCCTCTCAGCACGAAGGCTACCAACGAGTGTGGGTAGGCAAACTTTGGGGACTTTGCCCCCCGTGCCTTCACCCTCAATGCCAATTGCCTTGTCAAATATGAGAGTCCCGGGTCCGCTCCTAGGTACTCCAAGCCCTTTTCGAAGTGCCACCTACGGGCAGCCACTAAAGTGTTTTGGATTGTCGCCGGGGCATAGCGTTTCCTTTGTGCCCAAACTTCAAACATGCTCAACATGTTGGGTGGCAACGTGGTGCATGGCCCAGTGGGGAGGCAAGTCTACCTTGCCCCCATCTCGTCCTGCCACCACCGATCGAACCACGCCAATCCCGACCAATAAGTGGTTAGGATGGTCTCCTGTAAGGTGGACGCCTTGGAAACCACCACCTGCCTGGCTAACTCCCCCGCAGTTATTGGGGCCCTTGCATAGGACAATGTGCACTCTGGACAACAAAACGCTCCTCCCACGAACGCCCTGTTCGGCACAACCATACATTCCCGGTGGAACCACTTTTGACACGCCAGGCACTATAGCGCCCCGTCCTCCCACACGTCTCCCGAACACCATTGGCAATTCAGCGGCGACCCACGGCTGCCTCCCATTCCATCTCCCCGTGGGCCCCCGCTCTGCACCCCCAAATCCGGACTCATGGGAGCTAGACGAGAAGCACGGGCGAACGGGTCAGGGTCTAGTGGGTGGGGAAGGCCAGAGGTGAGCAGTCTCTCGCCCGCCATGAACCGCCTGAGAAGACGGAATACGGGGTTGTGCCTGTGGAAGAAGCGCTTGAACCACCCTACCATCTTCCACTCGGGGATGAGCAGCCTGATGGTCGTGTCATGTGGGGCCGCCTGCCATGCATGCAGCAATGCTGGAATGATCATAGAAATTTGTTGGAACGGCGGGCTGCACCACACCACTCTTCCAGCCAGCACTCTCCAATGCTGTTGTATAGTCACTCGCATGAAAAGAAGATTTTGCATCCAGGCTGCACGTTGCTCCCACGTCCTCGGCACACACATCCACGTATGCCGGGGGGTTATTATACTCCTCAAATTGCACAAAAGTCCAATTAGAGAAAGCGGGCTGCTCATTGCCTCTGCTCAGCCCGTCAGCCATGTTGAGGGGGCCTGGGATGTAGTGCGGCCTCATGTGGATCCCCAGGGTGATGGCCACATAAGCAATGTTACGGACCATCCCCTGGTTCAGGCGGTTATGGGCTGCATCGTGATTCACAGCCGCCAATGCCTTGGTGTTGTCCGTCATGAATAGCACTTACTTCCAAGCCCACATGGTCCTCCAGTGGCACAATACATGTAAAATACCCCGCAATTTCGCGTGGGTGAAGTGCTCCGTGCGCAACTCACTGTCGGACCACTGTGCAGCTGCCCTGTACTCTCTCCACACCATGCCCCAACCATGCAATGTAGCGGCATCGGTAGTGCACACCTCATCCGCCCTCTCCGGGAAGGTGGCGGACCTCCTCGACACAGAATTGGAATGTCCTGTCCTATGGCAAGGATCCCGGTGGCAACACAATGTGCCAGAAGATCAAATCATCCAGCACCGCATCGTTCACAGTCACCCAGCCGTGATCCCCCCCCTCTATCCCATAGGGATCCAAGTAAAGGGCATCAAAAATGTTCTGTAGAAAAGACAATCCCCAATGGCACGCCCTCGTCGCAAAGCACAGCTGACCCCAAAGTTTTTCCAGCCGCTTCCTCGGGCAGCGAGACTCCCCGTCCAGCTACGCGAGGAACTCATAGAGCGTGCCCAAGTACTTGCTTCGTTTCGCGTTGGGCAGCTGCAACGCTAGGGCCTCCGTGTCCAGGTCCAATCCGAGGAATGTAAGGCGGTGAGTAGGGGTCATGTGACCCTCATCCTTCCATCGCTTCCACACGAGTCCTAGCAGCTCGGACTCCCTGGCCATGGCTACGAACGCCTACTGCAGCATCCGGTGCGATGGCGCGATGAGGAGGAAATCGTCCAGGTACACCAGAACTTTACAAATTATCCCTTCTTGTTTGAACAACTGCATGAATATCTGGGTGGCAGCCGTTGTCAGTCCACGAAAATCCCTGGGCTCTGCTTCACCCCAAATGGGAGTACCTGCTGTCGATAAAGCCTCCCTGTCTCTGGGTTCTTAATCCCATCAACCTCCGTGCGCTAGCATTCAGAATCACGTGGTGGAACCCATGTCTGAGATCCCTCTTCCCCAAGAAATGTCCCCGTTTGACCGCTTGCAGCGCATCCTCCGGTTGCGGTAGCACCACCGGACAGGCTGCCATGCAGTGGTTCATGCTGGTGATGCTGGCATCCATCAAGGGGATGTATTTCCCCGTCCGCCCTCAAGTTCGCCCCCCAAGGGTTCACTGCGATGACAAAGTTGTGCTCGCTGTTGTGGATGCAGGGGTCATACGCCTCCACAAGGTGCTCCGCGATGTAACGGTTGATCTCAGTGATCAGCTAGGGGCGCAGCTCCCGTGCTGACCCATGGTCCCGATGCTCACAAAATTGCGGTTGATCCACCAAAATCCATCGGGCTGCATT